CCCGCGGGAGGCGCAGCTCCAGAAGGGCGCAGCTCGGCCCCGCCGCCCGGCCGGTGCTCGCGGGCACAGCCGAGCGGGCGCACCGCAGGCAGGTAGGTCTCCGCCGCAGCGCACTCTTTCGGCGCCGCCGCCCAGCGCACCCTGAGCGCAGTGAGAGCGGTACCCTCTTGCTGCCAACCCACTTCCCCGGCTTCAACTACAGCTCGCACCTCCGGGACACCTGCCGGGAGGGCGGGTGGGGTCCGTGTCCAGCTCCTCCTGGCGCCCAAGCTCTAGTGGGCACCTACCGCAGGGCGTGCCCAGCGGCCTGAATGCCTCCAAGGTGCCTCCCACGCGTCGATGAGCTTGGGGTGCTGGGCACTGGCTGCCATCGTCGCGGGGAGAGCCCCAAGGCTTGAACCGAGAAGTGGGCACCACTGTCGAGGGAGCCTGCTCTGCTGCGTCTCTCCCTTTGCTTCGCCATTGCCAAGGACTGGGAGCAGCACTCTGGCGCCTGATAGGAGTGTAGCTGGGGACACCGTGGAGGGAGGCCCCGACTCCAACCCCACGCCACGAACCCTATCAGAGCGTTCCCTCTACCTCGGCCATTCTTCACCCTTTCGGGTAAGAAATTGACATTTCAAGCAGTCACTCTGCCAGGATCTTAAAACCAATGAAAAGCGTTTGGGGGAAGATGGTGTCAGATGGAGTTGTCTTGTATCCTTTGACTCACGGCCCAGAAAAGTAGACACTGACTCTCCTAGCAGCGGAGAAGAGTCGGGGTGCAGTAATTTTGGGGTAGCTCTTATTGACTTGAGAAGGAAACAAGTCTAAAAGTGGAGGGAAAGTGAGACTAGTGTGGCCGAGATGCGGGGGAGGAGATGGTGAGGACCTGTGCACCGCACTCCTCAGCCGCTGTAGTCTCTGGTCTCCGGGAGGGGCCGGAGCGGGTACCCAGGAGCGGGGGTGGGATTAGGGGACTTTCCTGGCCTTGCCCTGGCATAACAGGGCGGGGAAAGAGCGAGGGCACACCAACCTGAAGAGGTACTGCGGGTACTAAGGTGTATAGCGGCGCCGCAGGCTGCCCCGGGGGTGCGGGTGGTCAACCCCGCGCCCACTCTGCGCGGGAAATCGCGAGGGCCAGCCTTGGCCTGGACCCCAGAGCGGTAATAAGTGAGCAGGACCAGAAAGGATGTAATTTGGGCCGGTGAGGGACGCTGGAGGTCTTTAGATGAGAGCCCCGGGACCAGAGGCACAGTCCCCGCCCCCGCCCTTTAGCGCTCAGGCCTGGGGCGCTGGTATCGAGAGACTCCCCGCTAGTGACAAGGGAATTGTTGGGAAATCACCCCTTCTACCCAAAGGACTTACTTTGGGATTTCCCCTTGCACCCTGGCCTTCCCCTAACCCTTCCTGCAGCACCTGCTGCCCCGGAGTCTCAATGTGTTTGGACTTTGACGGGGGCCGGGTGCTGGGCATTGGCTGCCATCGTCGCGCGGAGAGCCCCAAGGCTTGAACCGAGAAGTGGGCTCACCTGGAGGGGGCGGGTTTTAGGGGTTCTGCTAAGGGGATCCCTTGCCTTCTCCTTGAGTTGAGTGTGGAGTTTGCAGGGAGGCCTGTGAATCAGAACCTCAGGAGGAAGCAGGGGGACCAGCTGTTCTGCCAACTATTACTTCCACTACTGCTGACTTTTCCCCTACAGCTCCCTGGTGCCTGGGTGTTTCCCCCTGCTCAAGTGTCCTCTCCTGGGTCTTTTTTTTTTTTTTAAGAGAGAGTGAGAGAGGGGAGAGAAAGAGAGAGAGAGAGAGAGAGAGAGAGAGAGAGAGAGAGAGAATTTTTTAATATTTATTTTTTAGTTCTCGGCGGACACAACATCTTTGTTGGTATGTGGTGCTGAGGATCGAACCCGGGCCGCTCGCATGCCAGGCGAGCTCGCTACCACTTGAGCCACATCCCCAGCCCTCTCCTGGGTCTTTAATAGGGTCCTAGGATGAGCTGAGGGGTCTCTCCACCCCAGCAGAGGCTTCAGGACTGCCAGCTTCTGGGGGCTCCCTCAGAACTTCAGCAGCCCACACCCTTTTCAACATTTCTATGGAAAGTATTGGAGGAGCTCTTGGTTTACTCTGCTTTCCAAGGCTCAATCCTCAGGGCTGCATAAATTTCACCTCAAGCCTCCAGACCCTCCACCAGGCAGATGTATTCAGACACTGGAAGTCCTAACTCAACAGTTTTGGGGAAAATCTGAATCAGATCTAAGCCCACTGTGGGGCAGGAGGAAGCTTCCTGGGAGATGGATGACGAGCCTGATCCTACTCAAGAACTGGTCATAGTCAGAAGTTCTTGAGTCTGAAGATCCTTCTACAGCCTGGAGGACAGACCTTCTTAGCTATGGTGGGGCTTGTTGTGGAAGCCCTTTCTCCATATCTTGTCCCTAGACCACTTCAAGGGACTACAGCTTTCTGACACTGAAGCCAAAGTTATATTTTCAAAAACTTGCTCTGAATTAGAGAAGTGTTGGATTGAGCCAGATGGCAGGACTCACCCCTGCTCCTCCTTAGCCCCAGCAGCAGGAAGCAAAGGGGGTTTTCTGGTCTCCCAGCAAAACCGTTCCTCCAGCTTCAGACCTGGCCATGCATGTGGGGGTCAACACAGTAACTTGCCCACCCACTTGGCATCATAGAAGAATTGCCTACTACTGGTCACAGTCATCCTTCCATTGTAGGACTAGGGACTCTGGGGCTACAAATAAAAACATGGGTGAGTGAGGCTCCTTAATGTTGAGGACCACACCAAATATGCTGTGATTGTCTGCTGGCTTGGGAGGTAGGGAATAGGCTAGGGATGGGTGGTTGGAAGTTTGGTTTTGGGGACTCACTTGTGAGTTTTCTCTGCATCCCCTCCCTCCCTCAGTCCAGAGTGAGTCAGGTGTCTGAGATGTCCCATCAGACTACTTTCATTTCCCTTGGGGCTGGGTGGAGGCTAATATAGAAAGAGGAACTGAGCCACAGTCTTCTGAGGCCTGGGGGCAGGGCTGGGAGCCTTGCTATCCTCCCTGTCTGGTCTGTCCTTACTTTGCTTGGGTCCCTTGTAGCTGAGCTGGGCACTGCTCTGAAACCTGCAGAAAAACTTCAGGGGAAACTGAGGCTCTGTACCACAAGGCCCAAGCAGGCCTGGAATGACAAAGGGTCCATCTCAGCCCTTTGTTTCTTACTTGCTGAGCAACATTCCCCTCTGAGTCCAGTTGGTATGATGGCTCTCTCCTTTTGGTCACTGACCCTGGGGTTACAGACTTAGGGGCAAGCAAAGGAGAAAAACTGACCAGGAGCAGGAAGGGGCTCCAGATTGTGAAGAATTTCAGTTTCTGGGGGTACAAACAGGTGGAAGGGAGGGCACTTCATGTGTCCTGCTGACCTGACTCCAGTGAGGCAGAGACTGGGGCCCAGGTACCCACGAGGAATTATGAGATCTTGGCTCTGTACTTCCTGCATCTGTGGGCAGTACAAGCCCGCACACCCAAGGGGCTTCCTAAACGCTGAACAAACGTTTATCCAGTGGAAGAAGGGGCAGGAAGAAGCAGCTAAGAAACGGATGGCTTTAGAGGGGTCAGATGTAAGCTTAATGGCCACCAGCCTTGCTGGAGGTAGATAGACTGATGGGATTTCTCTGAAGAGATCAGGGTGAGGGGATCCTTCATCCCTGAGGATAACTGAGATCACATTCTCTGAGAAGTAGGTGTGGAAACCTTCCTTTCATTCATATATTCTATTTTTTTTGTCTAAGGCCAGATTTCCTAGAAACCTGAGATGGAATTCTTATGTACAGGATTTGTTGAGGGGATTCCTAGAGGAAAGAGGGTGAGAAAAACAGGGAGGGGGGAGAAGCTGAGGAGAAGCTGAGCAAGGATGGAATGGATCAGTTAGGGTGGAAACGTCAGATCCTATGGGAGTGCTCACACCTGTTGGCCCACCTGGAAGCAAGGGAGCCGCTCAGGCTTTGTCCCAGGTGTCAGGCAGCTGTTAACTGTGGAATGAGGAGTGCCCTCACCTGTGAAGGGAGGCAGCTGAGAGCCAAGGGGCAGCTAGGTTCTGTTCTGTTAGCAGTTGGAGAAGGGAAGCCCCAGCTGGTGAGGCTGCCCACAGCATCCCCTAGTATGAAATCACTTCCTTCCTTTCCCTCTGGACACAAAGCACAGACCCAGTGACTCTGTGACAAGAAAGCCGAAATTTGGAAAGGAGAATTGGCCTTGAACACCTGGATGGACTGGAGAGGCTGTCTGTCCCTCCAGGCTCCCCCCACCTGGGGGCAGGGAGCGTCCAGCTGCCGATCTGCTGAGCTCTCCCTTGCTTTCTCCTGCAGACCCCTTTGCCATGAACCAGCCAGCCCCTGGGGCTCCCCCGCCACCCCGCCGGGTGCGGCTGAAGCCCTGGCTGGTGGCCCAGGTGAACAGTTGCCAGTACCCAGGGCTTCAGTGGGTCAACGGGGAAAGGAAATTCTTCTACATCCCCTGGCGCCATGCCACCAGGCATGGTCCCAGCCAGGATGGAGACAACACCATCTTCAAGGTAAGGGTTGGGCAGGGTGCTGCCTGGACCTCTAAAGCCACCCCCACCCCTAGGAAGAGGAGACACACACACACACACACACACACACACACACACACACATCTCTTCAAGGCTAGCCAGTCTTCAGCTGCCTTGCCAAGGTGACACCAGGCTTAGACTGGGGACATAGGAGCTGGCATAATGGTACAAGCCTCAAATCCTAACAACTTGGGAGGCTGAGGCAAGAGAATCCCAAGTTTGATCCACCCTGTCTCAAAATAAAAAATATAAAAGGTCTGGGGATGAAGCTCAATGTGAGAGTACTTCTGGGCTCAATTCTAAGTACCACAAGGAGGAGACAAGGGGGAACATAGCCATAGGGTTACCTTTTCTAACCTGTCCTCAGAGCAAAGTTGGGACCAAAAGTCCCTGGGAAAGCCTCTAGTGACTTCTACCTACCCCTGGTTCTAGCCTCATACCATTAACCAGGAGCACACATTCAGTATACATAGATTAAAGGAGGTTACCAATTCATCCATAATCTTAATGCTAGGAAGTCCCCATTATCATTTTTATAATAGAAAATATTAGGATAAGATCATGGCATTTGCAGGGAAATGGATGGCATTAGAGCAGATTATGCTAAGTGAAGTTAGCCAATCCCCAAAAAACAAATGCCGAATGTCTTCTCTGATATAAGGCAGGTGACTCAAAATGGGGTTGGGAGGGAAAGCAAGGGAGGAAGTTTACCTCTAGATAGGGAATAGGGGTGGGAGGGAAAGGGAGGGAGAAGGGGAATAGCATGGATGGTAGAAGGAGACCCTCATCATTATACAAAATACATGTATGAAGATGTGAATTTGGTGTCAACATATCTTATATATAATCAGAGATATGATAAATTATGCTATAATGGTATATTAAGAATTGTAATGCAAAAATAAATAAATAAAAAATATAATAGGTTTTTAATAGAAAATATAACTGCTGATAATTTCCAGTTTTCTATGTGTATATGGAATGCAAAATTAGAATCAAGCCATATATTGTTTTATAACTTACAAATCTTTTTTCTTTCTTGTTATTTTATTTTTGTGGAACTAGGGATTTAACTCATACCTCAAGTGTTCTAGGCAAGTGTTCTACAACTGAGCTGTGTCCCCAGCCCCTCCTTTTATAAAAGATTTGTATTTTGAGACAGGGTCTCTTTAAGTTGCCCAGGTTGCCTTGACTTGCAATGTTCCCATCTCAGCCTCTGGAGTAGCTAGTAGGTATTATAAGCATGGGCCAGGGCACCCAGGACCTGGACCATTTTTACCCAACATCAGAACTAGTTTTCCTTTCCAAAATATGCCCACATCACTTGTAGTGACTGTTGAATATTCCACTGGAAAGATTTAGCATCCAACACCAATTTTTGTACTCTTTAGGCTGCTTTTTGTGTTTCAGTGTTGAAAACCATGTTTTCATCTAGATTTTCTTAAGTCCTAACCTTTAAATGGTTTCGTTGGGGATAGTTACTGGAACTTTGGGGATAGCTCTGGGTCAAAGAGAATGCTTATTTTTAAAACTTGGATACATGTTTCTTAATATTTGTTCCTAATCTTCCCTTTTCAGAGTTCTTTTTCAAATCCATTTCTTATTTTTCAATATATAACAGTTACATAATTCAAAGTGAAAATGGTATAAAATGATTTACAGCAAAGTCTCCCTTGCACCCTTGTCCCAGCTATCCACTCCCCTCCCTAGAGGCAATAGTTTTATTAGATTCCATGTTTTGTTTTAGTACCCAGGGCCACTCAACCACTGAGCCATATCCTCAGCCTTTTTTTGTATTTTATTTAGAGACAGGGTCTCACTAAGTTTCTTAGGGCCTCACTAAGTTGCTGAGGCTGGCTTTGAACTTGCAATCCTCCTGCCTCAACCTCAGATTCTTGTTTATCTTTCCTGAGAGATTTCCATGCAGACAAGCAAAACACCACCTCCTATCTTTTCCCAGCTTTTCACAAAAATGCTAGCAGTATACATACTGTCTGCACTTCATATTTCTTTAAGATCAACCAGTGTATAAAAAGTCCCCTCCTTTTTCTTCTTGCATATTCAATTCTATGAGCTGATCATAATTTAACCAGCTAGACATAATTTAACCAGCCCCCACTATGGACATTGGATATCACAGATCATTTGCTTTTACAAATAGTGCTACAGTGAATAAGCTGCATGTATAAAATTTTGTGTTAAGTCTAATTTTTTCTTTGATACCTGGGATTGTGGGTGCTTAGCCACAGAGCTGTATCCTTAGCCCTTTTTATTTTTTATTCTGGCCTCAATTCTGGGTACCACAAGGAAGAAAAAAAAGAAAGGGGGAATCTTGCTAAGTTGCTTAGGGCCTTGCTAAGTTGCTGAGGCTGGTTTTGAACTTGAGATCCTCCTGCCTCAGCCTCCTGAGATTACAGGCATGCACCATTGTGCCTGGCTAGTCTATATAATTCTATAGAAACCCAGTTGCTGTGTTTGAGGGTAGAAACTTTTGTAATCCTGACATCACCAAACTGCCATCTAAAATAATAATAGCTGGGGCTGGGGATGTGGCTCAAGCGGTATCGCGCTCGCCTGGCATGCGTGTGGCCTGAGTTCGATCCTCAGCACCACATACAAACAAAGATGTTGTGTCTGCTGAAAACTAAAAAAATAAATAAATATTAAAATTAAAAAAATAATAATAATAGCAGCTGGGGGTGTAGTTCAGTGATAGACCTTAGCAAGCATCCTCAACATCACCATCAGCAGCAGCAGTAGGAGCAGCATACCAATAGCTGAAGCACACCCATCCCATTCTATACAAAGGCACAGTTTTGAGTACTTTATGGGCACTGACTCTTGGAGCCCTCACTGATACCCTGTGAATAGGTATTATGAGGAGGATGAAGCAAAGAGAGGCAGAGTGACATGGCAGGTGGCACATGCTGGTTTCGATACCAGCCTGGCTCCAGATTATGTACCCATATCCACCATGTAACTTTGTCCTATGTAGAGACTATACCTCTTTGCCCTGCTAGGAGCAGTGAATCGTGGATACCTCTTAAAGCTCGCGGGGTTTATTGAGCTTGTTGGAACCCCAAGAGAAGGACTGTTTCACATCCACCTGTTGCAGATGAGTCCCTCAGCTCAACAAGGCTCAGCCTATGGCCACAGATCTCAGCAAGGACTCCTGTAGGACAGGAAGGTAGAGAAAAGGATAGCTGGGGCTTCAAGGAGTGAGGTTCTCCATGGTCAACTGTCCTCTCTTCCTGTCCCAGGCCTGGGCCAAGGAGACGGGGAAATATACTGAGGGGGTGGACGAGGCTGATCCAGCCAAATGGAAGGCCAATCTGCGCTGTGCCCTTAACAAGAGCCGGGACTTCCGCCTCATCTATGATGGGCCCCGGGACATGCCGCCTCAACCCTACAAGATCTACGAGGTCTGCTCCAATGGCCCTGCTCCCACAGGTACCATGCCTGGTCCTGTATGGACCACCTGGGAGGCTTACTGTGAATGTAGGAAGGCCCAGGGCCCTTCTAGGACATGGTGCTGGGGCTTTGCAAGGTCATTACTCCAGGGCTTGGAATGGATTCAGGGGCCCAGATGGTTCTTCCTCACCACCTCCATTGTTCTGGGGTCTTGGCGTCAGGGGAGAGGTCCCTACCACTTCCTGGTGGTGGTGCCTTTCATCTCATCCTGTGTTTGGATAGCTTTGGGGAGGGCAGAAGGCCCAGCAGGACTTTTGGGAAACCTCTCAGGCTGCCCAAATGGAGCCTGGATGGCCCAACTCCTGCATTGTCACTGATTCCCCTCCTGTCCTTTTCTCTCCCTTGCTGTGCAGAGTCTCAGCCCACTGAGGATTATAGTGTATGTACCGAAGAGGAGGAGGAAGAAGAAGAGGTGCGTGGGGGCAGGGCAGTGAGGAGGGGGCTGCATCCAGCTGCCTGCACTGACCACTGATCGATGAAATGGGCTTTGCTGCCCTCCCCTATTTTAGGGTTGAGCAGTCCCTTCCTCTGGAGCCCATGGCCCTCTGCGGCTCTTTTTTATTTTCTTGGGGATCTGAAGGACAGGAACAGAGTGCTTACCTTGTCCCTCCCTGGGCTGTGTTGTTACACAGCATGTCACATTGACTGATTGACCTTCATAAAGGTTGGACTCTCTGGAGGTAGGGTCTGGCCTCAGCTGAGCTGAAGAAAGGAGGGGACAGCCTTGTGCTTCTCCAGCCTTATTTTCTCAGCATCAGAACAATTTAATAACCTGCCTTCCTTTCTCTCTGCCTTCTTCTCTTCTCTTTTGCCCATGTCTTCTCTTTAGCTCCAGAGGATGTTACCAGGCCTGAGCATCACAGGTGGGGCTGGGAGGTGGTATGGTTGGGAGTCTAGCATAAGAAGTGACAAGTACCATAGGTACTTGGGAGGGGGCTGAAAGGAGGCTGAGGGTTGGCAGGAGTTGGGAGTTGGTGGGCCTGGGAGGCATTTTCTAGAGGTGGCTTTAATGGCTCTGTCCACCCCACTGTAGAAACAGTGCAGCCTGGCCCCCCAATGGCATCCTATTTACCCAAAGAAGATGCCAAGTGGTCACCAGCTCTCCAGCCACCTGTGGGGCTGGGTCCCCCAGCTCCACCCCCCAACCTCCTGGCACCTCCTCATGGCGACCCTGCTGGCTTTGGGCATCTTCTCCCTGGGGTCCTGCCGAACCTGGAGCCTGGGCCCCTGGATGCCAGCCTGCCCCCTACCGGAGAGCAACTCTTGCCTGACCTGCTGATCAGCCCCCATATGCTGCCTTGTAAGGAACCCAGGTGTGCTGGGGGTGGGTACAGTGCTGGAGGTTGTGGTAGAGCTGGCAAGGAAGGTGGAGGATGACGGGAAAGAGAACAAAAGTATGTATGCCAGCCCCCCCGGGAAGCTGGGAGGGAGAAAGTGAGAGAGCCTCTGAGGTTGGGCTTGTTCCTGGCTGCAGAACAGGTTGGGGGGCTCATGGCTGGGTTGGCCTGCCCCTCTGCCCCACAGTAACAGACCTGGAGATCAAGTTCCAATACCGGGGGCGGCCACCCTGTGCCCTTACCATCAGCAACCCACAAGGCTGCCGGCTCTTCTATAGCCAACTGGAGGCCACCCAAGAGCAGGTGGAACTCTTTGGTCCTGTGAGCCTGGAGCAAGTGCGATTCCCCAGCCCTGAGGACATCCCCAGTGACAAGCAACGCTTCTACACCAACCAGCTGCTGGATGTCCTAGACCGAGGGCTCATCCTCCAGTTGCAGGGTCAAGACCTGTATGCCATCCGTCTCTGCCAATGCAAGGTGTTCTGGAGCGGGCCCTGTGCCACAGCCCATGGCTCAAGCCCCAACCCCATCCAGCGGGAGGTCAAGACCAAGCTCTTCAGCCTGGAGCAGTTTCTCAATGGTGAGACTCCACAAGTTCCTCCTGGCTGCCTCTCCCCCAGGGCATGGTTCTAGCCTCTGACTAACTAGGTGTCTTGATCTTAATGCAGAGCTCATCCTGTTCCAGAAGGGCCAGACCAATGCCCCACCACCCTTTGAGATTTTCTTCTGTTTCGGGGAAGAGTGGCCTGACCGAAAACCCAGAGAGAAGAAGCTCATTACTGTACAGGTGTGCCCCTCAGCCCCACTGACTTGGCTGGAGTACTGGGGCATACAGGGCTGGCCCTTGACCCAGGGTGGGGGTCAGGGCTCTCTGGGAGGTAAGAACTTGGTTGTCAAGAAATGACCAAGGCTTAGGGCTGGAGGAGGCAGTCTACCACTTTCATGCTCAGTGGGATCTGGCAGCCCTGCCACTAGTTTTGTCTCTTCTTTGTCCCCCAGGTCGTGCCTGTTGCAGCCAGGTTGCTGCTGGAGATGTTCTCAGGGGAGCTTTCTTGGTCAGCTGACAGCATTCGCCTACAGATCTCAAACCCAGACCTCAAAGACCACATGGTGGAGCAGTTCAAGGAGCTCCATCACATCTGGCAGTCTCAGCAACAGCTGCAGCCTGTGGCCCAGGCCCCACCGGTGGCAGGCTTTGGTGCTGAACAAAGGCCCTGGCCCATGCACCCAGTCAGCATGCAATAACAGGGCTGCAAATACTGGATGGCCCAGGTTTCCTTGGTGACTATGTGGACTGATTAGCTGTGATAGCCCCAGAAGGCCTGGCTGGCTGCAGGGTCCTACCTCTGGGTCTCCTGAATGTGGATTTGGGCCAAGTACAAAGAAAGGCCAAGCACCAAGTTCTCTCTGCAAAGCTCTGCTTTACAAGGGCTCCATCTTCTTGGGCCTACCCCTATGTTCATTCTAGCTCTGAAGAAACTCAGCCAGTAGCCAAAAGAGCAGGAAAAGAACACCACCAACCTTGGGGGCCTAGTTATGGTTGCCCCCCACCCCTTTTTTTGGCAAAAGAGCCAAGAAGTGTTGTGGGTCAAGTCCCTCAGCAAGGCCTCTGCTGGGAATGGGCCTGATTTGGGGGTTCCCCAGTTTGAGTGTTGCTTCATCTTCTTTCTTCTTCCTGAGATGGATATGATGAGCCTTTGTGTTACTGGATACTTAAGATTGGCAACTACTCCCCCTTTTTCAGAGTCTAAGAACCTGGGGTAGAAAATATAATTTTATGTATTTTTGGATTAAAAAATGTTAAAAACAGACTGAGCTGTTTTTTCTAGTGCCTGACTTCCATGCTGTTCTACCAGACCCTCCTTTGGATGCTAGCTGGCTGTCCCCCCCCAGCACCTGCCCTCTGGCCCATGCTGGCATGGGATGGCCTGCTTTCCAGGAGGAAGCTGGCTGAGGCAAGGTGTGCAGTCTAAAATCCTGTCCCAATCAACTTTCCCTTAAGAAGTGGTGAAAAAGGGAGGCCTGGGATTCTAGCTACATTTGGGACCAGTTAGTCTCTTATCCTCATGTATATTCATATGCTATTAGATGTTGTTTGAATATGAGATAGCTCATGAGTATAATTTTCTGGACTGACAATTTATTGTTTTATCATGGAAAATTTTAAACATTTTTGAAAATTGGAAGGATAATAGAAAATTCCCATGTAGCAGCTTCAATAACTATCAGTTTATAATCAATCTCTTATCTAAATTTCCATCCATACTCCACACCAAGATTATTTTGAAGCAAATCCAGAAAATAACATTACATGTGTAAATATTCAGCATGTGTCTTTAGCCCCATGTATGCTAGACCAGCACTTTACCATGAGCTACACCCAAGCCAAGACAAGAACATTCTGAAAAAGGAAAAAAATAAAAGTACATGGCTGAGGATATGGCTCAAAAGAGAGTATATGATTTACACTGCTGCTTGTTGACTGTAACTATCAGTAGTTCTTCCACAGTGAAGTCCACTCCCAACCCCTGCTTTTTTTGGTACTGGGGACTGAACCCAGGGCTTTGTGCATTCGAGACACTCACTCACCAACTGAACTGTATATCCCCAGTCCAACCCCCTGCTTTTCTATATTGTCATATGAATGATGTTTTCAGAATTATTAATCTGTACCCCCTTAAGAAGCTTTACCTAGGTCCTCAGTTTGCAATCATTTACAAAGGTTAGCACCTTTATTGCCCACTGGTCTGTACAATTCTATTTCCTCTCGACAAGCTTTAAGCTTTGGAGATATCCCATATTTGCCAACCTCTCTCAAACAACTGACAAATATGGAAATACTGTTTCACTTTCCCAGTTCAATATAGTCCTTGTCTCTGAAGACAGCCCTTGGTGTCTTGGAGAGTAGGGAGAGAGAGTACATGAATTAAGGAAGCTTGGAAGAACTACATGCTTTATATGCTTTATATGAACACTGGTAGTCCTTGGCTTTCTACTTTCTTACAACAAAAATGAAAATACTAGGCCAGGCACAGTGGCACATGCCTATAATCCCAGTGGCTCAGGCAGGAGGATCACAAGTTCAAAGCCAGCCTCAGCAAAAGTGAGGCACTAAGCAACTCAGTGAGTCCCAGACTTTAAATAAAATACAAAATAGGGCTGGGGATGTGGCTCAGTGGTCGAGAGCCCCTGAGTTCAATCCCTGGTACCTCTCAAAAAAAACCCCCCAAAACAAAAAACAACTGTCATTTCCTCTAGATTTCTGTTGTGGTAGTCAGTTGTGGATAAATTCAAAAGAAGTGACAGACATGAGCTCCAGAGGTAAAGGGAGAACCATACATTCCTTCTTGGGATCCTTTTGGTAGTGGCTTGACTTCTTTGGTGACCAGTGCTGTTGTTTTAGGTTGGAATCCAGAGAACACTGATGCTCACCCTTCTAGGAATGAATACATCCCACATACACAGGAATCTCTCTTCCTTCTTCCAAGTACCTCCTTCTCCATCAAGTTTATCCTTGTATGCAATGAAATATTCCTTTAATTCAAGACTCCTTCCTCTTATCAGCTCTTCAATGACATCAAGAACATACCCCTTTTCAGTCTTTTTACAGGTGAGGATACTGATGGTTGTTTCCATTTTTGCTAAGGATCTGTTCTTGGAAGGACACTTTATATGCTGGTAATATAAGCCCCCAAAATCAGACCTACTTTGTTACATGCTCCAGATCTTGGCTCCAACTTAGTAAAACGATTCACTTAGATCAGGGTTACACACGGTGGATACGCACAATAAATTTGAGGTGTTGATGCCATTCAAAAGCATAGGTGCCTTTATGTCTATGTACCTTACATTTTCAGTCATCGATCTTTAATCATTCCTTCCAAACATGTACATAAAAATTGCAAATTCTTTTTTAGTAATCTTGCTGGGAATAGTCCCAATGGGTGATTTGTGTTTCATGTAACTAAAATTTCTTGGCTTATCCAATACATTTAACAGATAATTTGTGGATAAATTCCAAAGAAGTGACAGACACAAGCTCCAGAGGTAAAGGGAGAACCATACATTCCCTTCTTGGGATCCTCTTAGTGGTGGCTTGACTACTTTGGTGAGACAACTTAGATCTTAGATAAGTTAGGGTACAGTTAGCTGACCTGCACATATGGGAGAAAGATGGTAGTTCTACTTCCTCTAGATAATGCCATGCAGGAACACAAATAAGACTATATTAGATTAATTCTTTCAAATCTTAGGGCTCACAGGAAATATACTGTGAGGCCCTGAGCCATTAACGACAGGGTTCAGCTTTCAAAGCCATAGCTATAGAGAGGACATTCTTGACATTAACTAGAATATGCATTCCACATGCTATTTATTTAGTAGCTAGGGAGGACCAAATGAAGCATTGCACATTTTTTAATCCAGGATACAACTTCTTGTGAAAAAAGCCAAATTCCTTAAACAGAGCAAAGTCAACTGGTTGTTCAGCAATGTACAGTTGAACTAGGCTTAAAGGTTTTATTGTTTAACCAAACATGAGAGGGATGGCTAGGGAACTATGCTGATCCCCAGGATTTGATAACCTCACTCCACTCTTTCACATTCACGTTTTTTGCTCTCCTAATAACATCTCTTTAGAGAGTAAGACCCTGAATACCATGGATTCAAGTAATGCTGGAAGGCCTGTTTCACTGATTGTAAATATCACTCTGCAGCTTGAGGAGTCAAGCCCGGGAGTGAAAAAGTTAAAAGTGACACGGTGAAGGAAAAGGCAGAGAAATGTCAGTCCCAACAATACTGCCAGATGTTATCAATGAGAGCCAGTTCAGTAGTCAGGGATATTAGCTCAAAGCCTAATTACCATAACATAATGTTTGATTCCACTTACATGAAACTCAAGAAAATAATCTATAGTAGCAGAAAGCAGATTGCTAGGGTGGGAGAGAACAGGGACTAGGGACTCTCAGGAAAATTGGTAGGTAAAGAATATGTGAACCATTGGGGGAGTGGGTACTGGGATAGAACCCAGGTGCTCTAAGACTGAGCTACATTTCCAGCCTTTTTATTTTTTAATTTTGGGAAGGGTCTTGCTAGGTTGCCTAGGCTGGCCTGGAACTTTTGATCCTCTGCCTCAGCCTACTGAGTCACTGGAATTATAGGCGTGTACCACTATGCCTGATCCTATATGTTATCCTGACTGTGGCAATGGTATCATAGGTATATCAGTCAAAGCTTATTAAACTGTAGACATTCTGTGCAGTTTAGCCAGGCACAGTGGCACATACCTATAACCCTAGAGTCTCCAGACGTTAAGGCACAAGGACCACAAGACAAGGTTAGCTTCAGCAATTTAGTGAGACCCCATCTTAAAAAAAAAACAACAGTTGGGAATGTAGCTCAATGCAAAATGTCCCTGGGTTCAATCCACAGTAGCTTCGCCCCCCAAAGGTGCAGTTTATTGTCAATTATAGTTCAATAAAACCATATATATGTATTCACTTAAAGCCTTATCATTAACAAAAATATATAGCTATATGTGTGTGTGTGTGTGTGTGTATATATATATACACACACACATATATACATAAGTAAAAGACCAGAAGCTCTGTAGTTAAGAACAATCTACTTAGGAGACCATGGAGGAGAAAAGTAAGCTTGCTTCTAGTTTACCATGAAAGAGTGGCTTCCTTTTTTACCCTACTAAGGTGACATGAAAGGTGTGAAAAGCAGCATGAGGAGCTTTAGGGTGAACTAGAAGAATAAAGCCTGCAGAAAGCCACTTCCCTGCAGAGTCTATGGTACAGGGCAAGGGCTTGACCTTTCAACTCCATACCCAGCTGTCTATGAGGTACAAACTAAAGTTGCTTACTTAGCTGCTCTGACCAAATCATTTCAGAATTGGGAGGTCGTAAATGGAAGTAAAAACAAAGAAACACTGATTACATTTTAAAAATTTATTGTCTTTTTTTTTTTTTTTTTGCAGTTGTTTTGTTGCTGTTGATTTGTTCTTGAGATGGCTACAACACCAGACAGAACAGTGCCCTCAAATCTAATGGCTGTGCAGGGCTACACTCCTTTTAAACATTAAGATCCATTTGGGCTCCCCGCTTTGGCCCTTATCCCCACAAGAAGTCAGTTAGTTTCCACACTTTTTAGTAAAATACAATTAGCCCTGTAAACACTTTTGCTTCTCACACCCTAATTTTTTTCCTCATGTCTGTGGGTGAATAGTTTGCTAAGAAAAAAAAAAAGAAAGAAAGAAAAACTAAACAAAATACACATTTATATCCTATCCCCCCCCACTTCAATACCTCAATGTGGCTCTTCCCCCTCAAAGGCTGACCGACAACCTCATGGGGATTGGTAGGGGATTCAGAGATTGAATAGGGTCAGGGTTGGGTTATAATTAAATATGGATTTTGACCCTGGCTGGTCCTGAGTATCACCGACATGACTATGACATATAGAAGAATAGGCTTCTTGTCATAACAACTCAAGGCAGGAAGAACAGTTGGGGGAGGAATATTTCAATTCACTTGTGTTAAAGTTGGGAAGTGGAGGGGGAGTAGGAGAGGGAAAGAAGGTGAAACAATAGAAAATTCTCAGAGATGACCCTGACCCTTTACTTCCAACTGTAGCTATTTAAAATTCATTTGATTTCCCACATTTTCCCTAAGTGAATATTTTTGTTTCACATCAAGTCCTCACTTTTGTTTTTCCACGTGTACTGTACTTAGCGTGTTGTATCTGTGTATACCATTTGCTTATCAGGCGAATGTTTCAGTACTGGTTTCAGCTTAGCTTTCCTTTTTTTTTCCTTTTTTATTTCCTTGAAATTGTTTTTCCTTTTAGAAACAAGTTCACCAGGAAACCAGCTCCCCTCCCATCACGCCGGACAGGCTGCAGCCATCTTTTTTAAACCGCACTGATTTTCCCTCACACCCCCAAACAGGAACTCCTCAGGACGCCTGGGAAGGCTGGAGTCTCTCCCTGTCTGGGTTGGACACCCTGGGGGCAGTGAAGGCCCCTCTGCCGCGTCGGAGGTTTCTGATTGTGGGACACAGTCTGGGTTTTGTTTTCTTCCTGTCTTCTAATTAAAAAAGACATTCCTGACAAGAAGAAAGAAGATAGTCAATAACTGTGCCCAGGAAGCTAGTGAGCATTTTATAAAAGAAATCTTAAGGCAGAGGTTTCTATAATTGCTCAGGCATCACATTCTGTATTCTGTCATGATACCTGTTGAGGAAAAAAGCAGCAACAACAATAAAAAGCAGCAACAATAAAAGGTTAAATTTTTTAAAATCTATGATCTTAAGGGAACTTACTTTAATGAAATGCTGCTTGAGTGCATCTCCAATGCTGTCTGGACTGTGGAAACAGGGATGTGTGGGTGGGATCAGGAAAAAGCTAAATGACAGGCCCAGGCCTTCCATTTCAAACCAACCAAAAAAGCTCCACTTAAGACGTTTCATTACGATTTACTTTGCAAGAAGGCTTTGCCTATTAACAAAAGCTTTTAAACCACTGATTTAGACTCTATGGAAGGAGTATGTATAGTGTATTCGGATGTCATTTTTACTTGAATAACAAGTAGTTATTACAGAGGTGTTAAATGAAATTGTTAAAAAGTGAGGACACTGACACCAGAACGTCAACACTTGAATTATGGCTCCATCAGTTACTAACTGACACAATTAGGCAAACTGCTAAACATCTCTGAACTTGAGATCCTCATATGTAAAATGAGAATAGTAGTAACTAACCTAGAGGATTGAATGAGGATTTCTTAGTTAATACATAAAAATATAATACTTAATATATAAAGAATGCATAGTAGTATGAGATACCTAGAAAGTGCTCAATAAATGCAGCTATGAACATCTATAGCTGTTCATGATCAACACTTTGAGGTGCATCACTGTTATCAGAAACACATGTAAAACCCAATGATCCCAGATTATATTACTCATTAAAAAAAACAAAGTTTAGAATAAATTTTGAAGTGGCAAGTCACTGCTGAATGTCACTTTGAGTTATTAATGCATTTACCACAAAAACTACAGGTCAGGGCCCCAGATTCAGAGAGAATTGCCTTCTAGGAGAATAAACTCTCCTTAATATGTCAAAGGGTGCCCATCGTGGTGACACACCCCTGTAATCCCAGTGGCTTGGGAGGCTTAGACAGGAGAATCGTGAGTTCAAAACCAGTCTAAGCACTAGCACTTAGGTTGTGAGGCACTAAGCAATTCAATGAGACCCTGTCTCTAAATAAAATATGAAATAGGGCTGGGGATGTGGCTCAGTAGTTGAGTACCCCTGATTTCAATCCTCAGTACCAAAAAAAAAAAAAAAAGAAACAAAAAACCTAGCACCCAAATTCTACTACCAAGATTTTCCTCAGCTAAGCTTCTTGCTTTGCTTTGTAATAAGCAGACAGGAAACATGAGGAGAAAAACAATGACCAAAGAGGCTACTTCTTTTCTGTACCACCTGCTGGTCAAGGCACAGCATTTCAGTATTTAAAAAAAAAAAAAAAAGGCAGTAAGAACAAGCTCCATGCTCATCATATCTGGAAGGTCAGTCCTAGGAGGGATGGTGTCATGTTATCAAAGTCAACTTCTGGCCAGCACTATTTCCATCAGTAGCCAGATTAAAGGTAAAGATACTTATTTGTTACCACACTCATTATACATTATAGTAGTTATTTTGTTATTCAAGTAAAAATGACATCCGAATACACTAGCAATTATATGGCTGCCATAGCTCAAAAAATGAGGGCCCTGTATTCCCCAGTTGTGTGGCACAGTTAAACTCTTAAGTCTTTTTCTAACTCTAGCTACAGGACTGGTCCCATGATGGGCATTAAACTTCTCCCCATCCCCAAATCTCCTGAAAGCTCAGGAAAAGCTGGAAGCACATACTACTCACCTGGGTGACAGGCACAGTGCAGGAGTGTGAGCTATCGAAACAATCTGGTGAAGTCTCGCAAGGCCCAGCAAACTTGCTTACATTCCTCAGCACTAGAAGAGAAAAGGCAGGTGGTCTTTGACTGAGGCGAGAGACATCATCTATAAAGAACTAACCATGACACTGAGGCACACTGAGGATGGTCCCAACTCTGTGAGGAGTATCCACTGTCTCTTGATTCTGCTTCAGATCTTTTTGTAACCCAAGGTAAAAACAGACTATTATAAATGAGAACAATGATAAACTTGGCAGTCCTTGAAGAGCAGACTTTGGAGACAAATTGCCTGAGGTTGAATCTTGGCGCTGCTGTATCCTTGGGCGAGTTACTAATTTTTGCCTCAGTCTCCTCATCTATTATCTACCTCATGCTGTCCAGAGAATTCGATTTGTTCATATAGGTAAAATGCTTATTTTAACAGCATGGTGAGAAAGCAGCATTCAAGAAACACCAGCTACCACATCAACACTTTGCTGAAGTCCCTGACACATATACAAGAAATTTAGAACCCCCAAAATAAAATAGCAAGCATGTTCACTTAAGACTCTGGTCACTGAACTTTGAACCACACTACAACAGAGTTAGATACCCTGGTTTATTCATTCTCTCCCAAAGGCAGATTCTTTTTACAAAGACCAGTCCAGCAACTAAGTCTCTATCAGTTAAAGATCTTCAGGCAAACACTGAAGGAAAACAGTAAGAAGAGTCCAATATTCACCTGCTTTTTTTTCAAAATGATGCCAGCTTTATTCTTTTGTGTCATGTCTTCATAAGTTTTTGCTAACTGAATCTCGGGCTAAGTTAAAACAGTGAAAAAGGCAGCACTTTCTAACATGCCTACCCTTCTGTGGAGCGCTTTCCCTTCTGAAAACTCAGGGATCAGGGTCTATGCCTAGGATTCAATTCTCTCTCACAATGGCTGAACACCAGAGGAAGGAACTGCTAACAGTGACCCAACAGAGAAGAAGATGAAATCTGAGTAATTTCTTTGAGTACCTACATCTGGACTTCCCTACCCATTGTAAGGTTGGTCTGAAACATTAACCCATTCAGTCCCAAGTTTTCAATTCTATATAGAACAATGGGACATAATGAATGATATGTAAATTGCTGAGGCTGGCCTTGAACTTGTGATCCTCCTGCTTCAGCCTCCTGAGTTGCTGGGACTACAGGTATGTGCCGTCATGCCCGGCTTCTTGTTAGCCTCTTTTGTGGTACATGAGAAAGGGTATTGAAACCAAAAATACAAGTACAGGAGAACTGTGATAAACAAAGCAAAATGAGGGGTGAGTCACAGTTTTTTAAATCAGCTCCATTTCTGCTCCTGACCCTATCAATGATTGTATGGGTGTCAAGAGCTTTAGCCAAATGTTGAACTTACAGAGCCCTTGGTGAATAAACCCACAGAAATGGATCAAAAATCTCCTGGAATGCTAGCACTATTTTTTGGTTCCTGCCTCAGTCCTTCTGACATTTGTTAATTCCTGGTTTCTAACCAAATTTATTTTTTGAACTGCCTTTATTTTTCTAGGTTCTGTTTTCTGCTAGTCCACAATTCCAATCATTCTACCATACTTCTGAATACTTTCATAGTCACTATTTCTTAAGCCTCGTCACTCTAGGGGTGTACTGAGAAATGCAACCCTTTTGATCTGATGCCCTGGTATGGAGAATAACCAAGCTCTCACTGATGACCTGACCAGGGAGACACCTCCTACTGGCCTCTAGTTCCAGTGTCAATTCTTTCCATGTTCAACATCTTTTAGCTTAAAGACCTATATGTAAATGGTACTGTCACAATAAGATAAAGAAAGGAAAATGATGGCATGATTTTTTTCTGTTCCAATTACTCTTTGACAGAGATAGGGTCATCTGGTGTTTGGAAAGCAAGAATGATATTCTAGAATAAAAGGTCCCAGCTTTCTTCACGTTGACCAACTTAAAAAGCCAGGGAAGTAATTGCCAGTACCACTTGAAAAGCAGGCTTGGACTTGCTGAAATGAAACTGAACCAGTTCACCCTCCCTGTTAAGATGGCAAACAAAGCAGCATGTTGGGGCAGGACTTACAGGACCTTAAAACCAAAAGGGAGACTGAGTCATGCAAAGGTTCAAGGGCAACAGGCATACCAGAGAAAGAGAGGATGTGAGCCATTTCAAACCCTCTTTCTTATACCTTAACATTACCTCTTACTTCTGTTCATTTCCCACCATTATGTCACAGTCTACTACAGCAGGAGCTGTAAAACTTGTTTTGCAATGAAAGATCAGGTAGACAACCTAGGTAGTGTACTTTATTTTCCCATATCACAGGGCCAAGATTACAGATATTTTTTGTTTACAGTCTTGTTTTAGGTACTTTTCCTTGCCCCTTTCCTTAAACAAGGGAATAATATCCACAACCTTGATTTCCAACTTAAACTATTGCTCTATCTGTCATATACTAGCCCTGTCAAGAGAATTTGGGTTTGGTGGAGACTTATTCCATAATGTGTGGGTGGCTGCCTTAGAGCTGGCAAGAGACACGCCTCAGCTAGTCTTGCAAGTATATAATGGCATTTTGGCAGTTTCTTTTTTAAGAAGAAAGGAGTTAAAAGTCACTGATCACCTACTATGTGTAAGCTCTTCTTTAGTAAAGATTTCCATTTGCTATTTCACAATAACCTTATGTGCTAGGTAATACTAACCCTGTATTACAGAATTAACTAAAGTTTCAAGTAACAGGATAGTGGGGTAAGATTCAAAATAACGTATTTGACTCTTAAGCTCAATCCTTTGAGGCTTTTCTCTCCTAGGCTCTCATTTGCTTAGAAATTAGAGCCAATATGATTGTGCCCTTCTACTGACCAGCACTACATGGAATAAAGCAAAACAGAAGCAGAGAGAAGCATCTGTTACACTACTTTCATCTGCAACAGCATATAGGTAGAATACTACTTTAACTGGGAAGACTCATAGTTAAAAAAGAAACCAAATAATTGTGTAAGGTCATCCCAGTCAATATATGTCTACCTGGCGGAGGGAAAATCTCCACTCTGGCAAAATGTGTCACAAAGGTTGTCATGTTATTTTTCAGTCATGCATGTCACTTGATCTAAAGTTAAATATCACTCACTTCTAGGGCATGAAGTTAAGCCACTTAATAAGCTACAAATAATAATAATGTTAAAATCCCAAAGCTACTCCATGGTTTGGGATTTTAACATTAACAAAAATTTGGGGTATACAAAAGGAAGAAAAAGGAAACTGTTTTTAAAGTGACATTAAGAAATCAATTCTCAGGCTGGGGTTGTGGCTCAGCAATAGAGTGCTTGCCTAGCAATGCGGAGCCCTGGGTTCGATCCTCGGCAACACATGAAAATAAATCAGTAAAAGGTATTGTGTCCAACCACAATGAAAAAATAAAAAAATATTTAAAAAGAAAGAAAGAAAGAAATCAATTCTCAGACCAAGGGTGTAGCTCAGTGGCTACACCCTTGCCTAGCATGTACGTATAAGGCCCTGGGTTCAATACCTAGCCACACACACACACACACACACAAACCTCCCTCCCCTTCCATCCTGGTCCTATGTATAATTTTCCAGAAATTTACTATACATGAAGTAGCGTATATATACAAACACATATACATACAGACATATAGTACAATAAAAAACTACAAAAAAATTTATGAAAGACATTAGACAGGCATGGTGGCACACACCTGTAATCCCAACAACTCAGGAGGCTTAAGCAAGAGGCTCACAGGTTTCAGACCAGCCTCAACAATTTGGCGAGATCCAGTCTCAAAATAAATATATAAATAGGACTGAGGGGTATAGCCAGTGATAAATCACCCTGGGTTCAATCCCTAGTAAGAAATAAATAGATAGATAGATAGTCTGGGGACACTAGAGATCAACATGAAAAAGGAAAAAACTGGGTCACTACCAAACATCACATACAAAAACTAAGTCATAACGAGACCTAAAATTATAACTCTTAGCACAAAATCTAGGGGGAAAACTTCATGACATTATATTTGTCAATGACTCTTGGATATGACAACAAAAGCACAGGCATAGTGGTGCACACCTGTAATCCCAGTGGCTTGGAAGGCTGAGGCAGGAAGATTACCAGTTCAAAGCCAGCCTCAGCAAAAAACTAGATGCTAATAAGCAACTCAGACCCTGTCTCTAAAAAAAATACAAAATAGGGCTAGGAATGTGGCTCAGTGGTTGAATGCCTGAGTTCAATCCCCAGTACCCGATCCCCCAAACTTAAAACTTCTGTGCATCAAAGGACACAATCAGCAGGATGCAAAGGTAGACTATAGAATGGGAGAAAATGTTGTATGCAAATCTGATATACCTGATAAGGAGTTAATGTCCCAAATATATATAAGGAACTTCTTCTACAATCTAATGATAAAAGATACCTAATTTAAAAGTGGTCAAGGAACCTGAATAGACATTTCTCCAAAGAAAATATACAGATGGCTAATATGCATATGAAAAAATACTCAACATCGTTCATCAAAACCATACCGAGAGAGGGCTGGGGATGTGGCTCAAGCGGTAGCGCGCTCGCCTGGCATGCGTGCGGCCCGGGTTCGAACCTCAGCACCACATACAAACAAAGATGTTGTGTATGCCAAAAACTGAAAAATAAACATTGAAATTCTCTCTCTCTCCTCTCCCCCCTCTTTAGGAAAAAAAAAAAAAACACCAAGATATTTATGTCATACTACAAGTGAGATGCCAAGGTGGCTGCCATTAAAGAAACAAAATAACAAACATTGACAAAGATGCGGAGAAGGTAAAAGCAATGCTGGTGAGAAAGAATAATGGTGCAGCTGTTAGGAAACAGTGTATGATGGGTCCTCAAAAAATTAAAAATAAATTCACCATCGGACACAGCAACTTCACTTGTGTGCATAAATCCAAAAGAAATAAAAGCAAAGTCTCAAAAGACATTTCTACATCTGTTTATGGCAGGATTATTCACAACAGCCAAGAGGCTGGAAACAACATAAATGTGTCCTACAGAAGAATGGAATTATAAAATACATGCATATAAAAATATTATTTAGCCTTAAAAAAAGGAAGGAAATTCTGGTACATATAACATGGCTGACCTCTAAGGACATAAAAAATAAGCCACATGAGGTAGTCAAACTCAAAGAAACATCAAATAGGGTGATGGTTGCTAGGAATTGGGGGAAGCAGAGAAAAGGGAATTGTTACTTAGTGGGCACAGTTTCCATTTTACAAGATAAAAAATATTGGAGATATGTTTATATTGTTTTGCAACCTATTTCTTTTTTGGGTGAGAGCTACTGGGGATTAAACTTAGGGGCACTTAATCACTGAGCTACATCCCCAGTCCTTCTTGTTTTTTATTTTGAGACAGAATCTCACTAAGTTTCCCAGGCTGGCCTCGAACTTGTGAGCCTCTTGCTAAGCCTCTTCCTAAGTTGCTGGAATTACAAGTGTGTGCCATCACATACGGAAATATGAACATACTGAGCTGCACATTTAAAAATGGTTACACAGGGCTGGGGCTCAGTGGTAGAGCACTCACCTGGCACATGTGAGGCACTGGGTTCAATCCTCAGCACCACATAAAAATAAAATAAAGATATCGTGTCCATCTACAACTAAAAAATACATATTAAAAAATAATAAACATGGCTAAGCACTCATAAGTCAAATGTATTCCTATACATGAGTGAGGAATTCACTGGAAGAGAATCAGGAAAACTGCCCCATTCACAATAGCCACACACACAAAAAAATTGGGGTACCAATCTAAAAAAAGAAGTGAAAGACCTCTACAATGAAAACTATAGAACACTAAAGAAAGAAATTGAGGAAGACCTCAGAAGATCTCTCATGCTCTTAGATTAGGCTGAAGCAGAAGGATCTCAAGTTCAATGCCAGCCTCAGAAAAAGTGAGGCACTAAGCAACTCAGTGAGACTCTGTCTCTAAATAAAATACAAAATAGGGCTGAGGATGTGGCTCAGTGGATCAGTGGCTGAGCACCCCTGAGTTCAACCCCTGGTACAAAAAAAAAAAATTCCAATGATATTCTTCATGAAACAGAAAAAGCAATCATAAAATTCATTTACAAAAAATAAGAGACCCAGACTAGCCAAAGCAATCTTTAGCAAGAAAAATCAAACAGGAGGCACACCACAATACCAAACCTTAAATTATACTACAGAGCCATAGTAACAAAAACAGCATGGTACTGGCATCAAAACAGACATGTAGATCAATGAGAATAGAAGACACAAAGACAAACCCACATAATACAATTATCTCATACTAGACAAAGTCACCAAAACAAAACAAAACAAACAAAAAACATCAGAAAAAAGATAGACTCTTCAAGAAATGATGCTGAGAAAACTGGAAATTCATATGTAACAAAATGGATAAACATCTATCTCTCACCCTGCACAAAAATCAACTCAAAGTGGATCAAAGACAGGCACTAGCACAGAGACCCTGGGCCTAATGGAAGAAAAAGTAGGCTCAAGTCTTCACCATGTCAGCTTAGGAACTGACTTAGGAAGTCAACTTAACAAGACTCCTAAAGTGCAAGAAGTAAAATCAAGAACCAATAAATGGGATGGACTCAAACTAAAAAGCTTCTTCTCAGCAAAGGAAACAATAATGTGGAGAGCCTACAAAATGGGAAAAAAATCTTTACCACATGCACCTCAGATAGAGCATTAATTTCCAGAATACATAAGAACTCAAAAAACTCAACACCAAAAACAACAAACAACCCAATCAATGGGCTAAGGAACTGAACAGACACTTTGCAGGAAGAAGAAATACAATCAATCAACAAATATATGAAAAAATGTTCAACATTTTTAGTAATTTGAGAAATGCAAATCAAAACTGAGATTCCAATTCACCCCAGTCAGAATGACAATCATCAAGAATACAAGAAACAAAAAATGTTGGCGAGGATGTGGAGGGAAAAGATACACTCAGACATTGCTAGTGTGACTGCAAATTGGTGCAATCACTATAGAAAGCAGTATGGAAATTTCCTAAGAAAACTTGGAAAGAAATCACCATTTGATCCAGTTATTACACTCCTCGGTCTATATCCAAAGGACTTAAAATCAGCATACTACAGTGATACAGCTTAATTCACAATACCTAAATTATGGAACCAACCTAGGTGCCCTTCAACAGATGAATGGATAAAGAAATTGTGATAGATATTCCCAATGGAATATTGCTCAGTCTCAAAGAAGAATGAAATTATTTGCCAGTAAATACAAGAAAGTGGAGAATATTATGCTAAGTGTAATAAATCTATCCAAAGAACTAAAGGCCGAATGTTTTCTCTGTTACGTGGATGTTAATTCACAATGGGGGAGGGGAGAAAGGTATTTTGGACTAGACAAAGGGAGTGAAGGGGGTGAGGGGATTTTGGGAGAGGAACGATAGTAGAATGAATCAGTCATTATTACCCCATGAACATATATGATTACATGACCTGTGTAACTCTATATAACATACAACCAGATGAATGAGAAGTTATACTCCACTTATGTATGATGTGTCAAATGCATTCTGTCATGTATAATTAATCAGAACAAATTAAAAATATGTAAAAATGGTTAAGATGATAAATTTTAAGTTATATATTTTATTATAAAAATTGTTTCAAAAGTTCAAATTGGGTTATGTTATACCATTAGCTTCCTTTACAAAATGTTTTGTATATTTTTTGTACCATCACATGTACATCTTTTTCATTTTTAGTGACTATTTACTAGTACAGTCATACCATTAATTATTAAACATGGCAATTAAAATATTTCCAATTTTTTTTTCACAATTGCCAATCTCACTTCAACACTTATTCTCTGACCTTATCTTTCCATACTTGTTTAAGCCATTGCCTGAAATTTATTAAAAATTCTAAAGACTGTTCTTGCAAAAAGAAGTATCAGGGCAAGATAAGACAGTTATAAAATTCAATTTAAATTGCTGCCATTAATATTATTGAAGACCATACAAGTCTTATAGACTTTGATTCAGTGATTATATTTTAAGACAAATATAAAAAGGAAGAAAAATGCTACATCTTCGAAGATTCTACATCTTTGAAACAATCTTTATAAAATATATATAACTTAAAATTTATCATCTTAACCATTTTTATATATTTTTTAATTTGTTTTTAAATGGCACTGGGGGGCTAGGGATGTGGCTCAAGTGGTTGCGCGCTCGCCTGGCATGCGTGCGGCCCGGGTTCGATCCTCAGCACCACATACAAAACAAAGATGTTGTGTCCGCCAATAACTAAAAAATAAATATTAAAATTTTCTCTCTCTCTCCCCCCCCCTCTTCCTCTCCCTCACTCTTTAAAAAAAAAAAAAAAAATGGCACTGGGGATTAAACCCAGAAGAACCTGATACCGAGCTACTTCCCTACTTTTTTTTTTTTTTTTTTGGAGACAGGGTCTCATTAAGTTGCCCAAGCTGGCCTCAAACTTGCAATCCTCCTGCTTCAAGCTTCCTGAGTAGCTGAAATGAGAGGTATTATAAATCACGTCTAGATACAGTTCTGTTATTATCTCTAACATCAAAAAATAAATAAATAAAAATAATCTAACTGCCCATTAATAAAGAAATTAAAAGGAAATCAAGTAACACCTCTATGGATATAAGATGGTAATTAGGAAGATCATTAAATAGGTTTACTATTCACAATCAAAATATACACATAAAAACTTTAACTAAGCTATAATCCAGAAATTGCGATCAAGTAGCTGGCTCAGGGTCCTAAACAACATCCCAGAGAGATGTTTTATGTGTATAACTGTGAAATTAGAATTTGAATATCTTTAGGCATGGGGAAAATTCTCATTCACTGCAGTCTACATTACCCTTTAATACTTTATAACCAATGCTTTACCTATTCAGGAATCTGCATTTTTTAAAAAAAAACATACAATTGAACCCAGTGCTTTAGGCATGCTAGGAAAGAACTATACCACTAAGCTACATCACCAACTCAGAATCAGTGCTCTTTTTGGGGGGTGGTGAGGGGGAGGTACCAGGGATCGAAATCAGGGCACTTGACCACTAAGCTACATCCCCAGCCCCGTTTTGTATTTTATTTAGAGACAGGTTCTCAGTAAGTTGCTTAGCTCCTTGATTTTGCTTAGGCTGCCTTTGAACTCAAGATCCTCTTGCCTCAGCCTCCAGGGTCGCTGGGATTACAGGGGGGTACACCACTGTGCCCAGCCAACAGCATTCTTGATCCCTGAACATGGACTAAAAGGGACTCAGAAAGGTAAACACTGATCTCCTGATTGCATTTTTCTTTTGGAAGAGGTAGTGCCTCCTCTTATTCTTAAACCAGTTTAGTTGATATGTATAATAAGTGATATAGAAATATATAGTATGGTGATATTCCCCCCAGATTGGTTTTTAATGCCAATTTGTGCAGTCGCAGACTAAAAGAAACTAAATTGTGAATTTACAATAGCACAGAAGAAACATAGATGTTTTATTCACATACCCCAGATGCTATTCACACTTGTTTCACAAGCCTATGGTGTCACTCACCTAGTGACTTGCTTGTGGAAGTCTGTAAGTTGTTTGTGTGTCACTGTAACAGCTCCCACAGTTGTCTCCTTTGGCAAACCTTTCAAAGAATTCTCTAACCATCGACAAAAGGTCTGTATAAGAAAAAAGGATAAGAATCTTAAAAGGAGCCAGGGTTTACATGTCTGAGACTTTATAGGTATTAGCAAAACCCCACAGGTTTTCCTTAGCATTTTCCCCCTAGACTTGAAACAAGTAAAGGAATTAACAAAGCACTATCTTTATGCCCTCAAATGCTCTGGGTTGATACAGTCTGCAAATGCAAGCCTAGACTTCCCTTCAGAGGGGGAGCAGGCATGATTTCAGATGAAGTCCTTCTATACTTTGGAAGTGAAGCCTTTTCTATATAAGCCATTATTCTGTTTCTGTTATTAAACTTATACAATATTTAAAAAATTAAAAAGATGTCACAAAACTTCAGAGACTATATAGAAAAAAATTCAAAATAAAATTTCAGATATAAGAAAGAGTAGGGACAAAATAAGTAAAGGGACGCAGTGCCTGGAAAGTGGCAGCAGTCAGGCCACTATCACCATGTCCTTGCAGGCTGATTTTGACAGGGTTGCAGAAGACATGAGGAAGCTGAAAACAGGACTAAATAATGAGGAACTGAAAGAATTCTATAGGCTTTACAAACAAGCTATAACTGGAAATGTTGACAGGAACATCTAGCAAAGGTCAAATGAAAATGACCTTTATAAAATGCAAGGTCAAATGAAAAACTGGGAACCTCCAAACAGGGTTGTTGAAGGATGATTCTACTTCTTTTATTCTTTGTGGTACTGGTGATTGACCCTAACTATGCTAGGTAAGCACTCTACCAATGAGCTACATCTCCAACCCAAGTATCTATACTTCTAAAGCAAAAGAGCTAATAGAAAAATCTGGAATTCAGAATTAACAGATGAGACATTTTTCCTTTGGCTGGGCACAGTGGCGCATGCCTGTAGTCCCAATGGCCCAGGAGGCAGAGGCAAGAGGATCAACTGAAAGTTCAAAGCCAGCCTCAGCAACTTAGTGAGGCCCTAAGCAACTTGTTTCAAAATAAAATATAAAAAGGACTGGGGAATGTGGCTCATTGGTTAAGCACCCTTAGGTTCAATCCTGGGTACAAAAGAAAAAAAATTTTTTTTCTTTCCTTTTGAAGACTTCAATAATAGTGTCATTGCCTAACCTTTGGGGAGGAAATGGACTGTTAACTAACTCTATGTATCATGTATATTTTTGCTATTAGCATGAACCAAAACAATTAGGAGTAGGCTAAAACTACATAGTCAACTAAACTTTATATGCTTACACCAGGTGAATTTGCCCCAGGGTATGGATCAGGCAGGCCATCTATGGACTGAGACCTCTGAAACTATGAGCAACAAAATAAATGTTTCCTCCTTTAAATTTGGTCTTGTCAGGTCTTTTGGTCATGGCAGTGAAAAAGCTGACTAAAATAATGATTATTTCTTATTTTGGGTTGTTCTTCCACAATGAGTATTACAAGTGACATAAAAACAGTTTATTATAAACAAGTATACTAAGCAAGCAAGTCTGCATACATAACAATATGAATCCAGTGTCTTTGGATTTTAAAGTCATTTTTCTCAGTAGAAGTCATATCCATCCATTCATTTCTCTGTAAAATTGCCTACTTTCTGGGTTAGAAAAGCTCACTCTTATTGCTATTTAAAATGCTTTATTTATATCTGAGCAGTCTCTTTAAACTTTTAAACCTTTCATAGGCACATAACTGTCTTACCCCACTTTCAAATTAAAAACTCAAAGACTTGTTCTGGGCTATTTTCTGTTTAACTGTTCTCCTTTGAATCAGCTCTAATTTTTTTTTTTCATCCCTTTCTTAAATGGGATATATGCTTAGTCATAGTTTTCAGCGATAAAATTATCTTTTTATATCTAACTTTTTAAACATCATATATTTCCATTCATGTTCATTTATAATCATAAGATAGGCACAAATGTAAACATTATAATATAAATGCTTAACAAACATAATTCTCCAAATGTTGCCTACAGAAAAGACAATACTTACTCAGAAAAAAATATAAGCAGTGGAAAAGGACTCAGTGGAAAAAATAGAAAACTAAACAAAAAGGAAAAAACTCAATAGCTAGCACAAATAGTCTTTTATTATCTTCCAATAAAGGCATTTAAAAAATTTGGTTGAAAACATTAAATTTGCCATACATGGGTATCCAACAAAGAAAGAGCAACAGAAGAAAGGGTTTACTTTATTCAACCTAAGAGAGAAAGCTGGTATGCCATCTTCTAGTGAAGGATTTATATATTCAATTTTGAAAAAGTTATATAAGAAACTGCTCAGGTCTGGGTGTGGTGGTACACACCTATAATCCCAGTGACTTAGGAAGCTGAGGCAGGAGATGGTAAATTCAAGGCCAGCCTCAGTAACTTAGAAAGACCCTGCTTTAAAATAAAAAATAAAAAGAACTAGAGATATAGTTCAGTAGTAGAGTGCCCCTAGAATGAATGCCTAGGATTTAAAAAAAAAAAAAAGCTTAGGAATGTAGATTTTATTTTGACATATGTCCTTAGATACAATATTAACCCAATTATAGGGTATACACAACCCAAACTTACATAAGTGTTCTTTTACAAAGTTGAAATTGATGTTTATAGAAGAAAATAATTTTAAATTGCTTGATAATAAAGTGTCTATATAATAAAATGTTATAAGCATATAGATACCTGATTTCTGTTTCTCTCTAAACCTGCTATTCCCATTTTCTTCTGTAAGCACTTAAGTGTATGTTTGTAAATAAAGAACATTTTTGAAAAGTTTGACTTAGTTTAAGCAGAGTATGGGGGTTTTATTTCTTAAGAACTTTCAGAATTAAATTTGTTGGTCCCTGGGTGATGGGGGCAGTGTGTGTATCAAAGACTACTTTATGAAAACATAAATATTATTGTATTAGATTGAAATAGAATATGTATACTGAACCAAGAGCAATGGGAATTATAGGGACCCTTTATATTACTATCCATTACATATCCATGGTTCTGGAAGACAGTTCACTTAGGTCAACTATGTACTTTCCTAAAGAGCTTTTTTATCAATATTAAAAATATTAATCTGTGGTCAGTACTCAAATTACTTGGACATAACTGTATAATGCTCTGGCTAGATACACCAGTAAGAAATAATACAATTCCCCAAAGTGATTGAATACTGGAATAATCTGCAACTGACTATAACTGATACATGGGATCTCTTATGAGGGAAAAATTTCTTACTGGCTAGTCACATAGCTGAATTCAATGCTTTGTACTTACTTCTGGTAATACACAATATAAACCTCATGAGAAGTTTATTTAGACATAAATATGATAATAGGTTATTTTTCTTCTCTGGGCCCTTTCAACTACCAATTAAACTTAGCAATATGCCTAAATTTGGTTCTAAGGACATATCCAAAAGGGCTTGTTTTGAAGTTATGGTAGGCTTCAAGGAACCAAAGTCTATTAAGTTTAAGAATTAGGAGAATAGGTTGCTTATGAAAGAATCTTACCGGTCTGTCAACCTGCATGATCTCCCAGAGCACTTCAGCCACGTCTGGTAAAGTATAGGGGGGTAGACAAAAGCAACATGTATGGAGCAGCTGGCTTACAAGCTGCTGTCCAAGCTGGTTCATCACCTGTCCAATTAGTTCTTTTCGTAATTCAAAGTCTTCTTCATGCTGTAACAAAGCAGGAGTGTCAGATGATTGTGGTTCTAGTTTCCATTTTCCAAAAAACAAGAACTCACTCTCCATTAGTCTACTAAGTACTCTTTACCATGGGAAAAAGTATATACATTATGTGACAGCTGAATTCATAATGACCATTAAATGTTTTGCATTAGGATGAAAATATGAGTTTAATGAGGGAAATGGAGTCGTAGGTTTCTGATGAGATTAATATTAATGATTTGATTTTTCAGGATTAGAAGGCAGAAGAGAAACAATGGTTAAGAATTAAGATTAGCATCCCCCCCCCTTGAAAAGTAACTCATGTCCTTGTTTTCACCTCCCATGTTCACCTCCCTGTCTTGTTCCTTGCTTATTTCCTTTTAAAATAAATCTTGATTACTTTTTACTCCTTAGTTCATTCACATATTTCTTCTTTACTTTCAATCCTACTCAACATCTAGACAAATTTACCTTTGAAAATCTTGTGAACCACTTCACTACATAGCCAAACAGGTTTATTCATTGTCTACTAGCATACTTCGTGCTATTCTGACTTTTCCTGATCACAGTTTATATACCAATTAGACTATCCTCCTCTCTAATCCATCAAAGTTCTATCTCTATCTTATGGCTTTAAGTTTCTTCTTTTTAAGATAGTTACCCCAACTAATTTCTGACCAGAACCTTTCCTATTCTGACTCATAGCAATCATGACTTTTATCACTCATCTATTTATCTCTTCAACTAGACACCAAATATTTTGGAAACAGGGACAGTTTTAGACCGCTTTGTCTGTAAGATGCCTAAGGCACAGCTGCCTTAGAACTGGAGTTAATAATCCAGGGGGTGAATGATCAACTATGATATATGTCTGATAATACAGATCAAATATGGACCTAATAGCATACTGGTTTTCCCCTAAAAAGTGAGGAAGACATGATAATCTGTTAAGTAGGAAAGGTACAATGTTTATACTTACATCATTGGCTACCCCTGTATGGATGAGGTCTCGTAGGAACCTCATGACACTACAATTGGCATCCCGGTGATCCAGGGTAGTAGAGGCAATGGCCCACTGTAAGATTGGGATGACTACTTGGCTCCTCAGTAAGGTGACAGGGCTACGCTGAATAAACCTGTTATGGAAAGAGAGGCTGGATATAATAAATGACAAGATTAGGCTACAAAAAAGCAAGCAGGGTAAAGGATAAAAAACCATGAAGATATCAAAAAGATCAACTATTGCTATAACTGTAGGGAGGAAGGAATAAATACAGCACAGAAGATTTTTAGGCAGTGAAAATGATATAATGGTGGATAGTTTTGTTAAAACTCACAAAATGGGTACACCAAAAGTAAACCCTAATGTAAACTATGAACTTTGGGCAATGATGTGTGAATGCAGGTTCACCAATTATAACAAATGGCCCACTCTAGAGGGGAATGCTGATAACAGAGGAGGCTATGTTTGCTTGTTTGGGACAGAGAAACTGGAGGAATATGGGAATTCTATACTTAGTTTACTCAGTTTTGCTGTGAACCTAAAACTGCTCTTTAAAAAATATTTATTGGAAACAAAAAGGCAAGAAAGGGACCATATTTTAGATTAGCATATGAAAAGACATGTTGCCAAACTCAATTTTCAATTAAGACTTTGAAGTAGCTTCAAAGATCAGACCAAAAGAGCCTCAACACATTAGAATAGCATTTCCCAAACTATATTCTATAGAACACCAGTTTCCAGGATGTCAATAAGAATTCCTCAAAAACAAGTTGTGTGTTCAATTTGGTTGGAAAATGCTGAATTTTTAAAGTAGTTTTGCTTTAAATTACCACAAGATTTTACCAATTGTTTGTGAGACGGTGGTCTCACTAAATTTCCCAGGTTGATCTTAAACTTGAGATTCCCCTACCCAAGTCTCCCAAGTATTACATGTGTGCAACCACCATCCAGATTACGGAAGATGAGAAGTATCAAGTAGAAATACATATATATATATATATATATTTTTTTTTTTTTTTTTTTAAGAATACAGTATGTTCTGAATTTACTTCACCACATGCAAAGAGTTTTCCAAGAAAGATATCCTGGTGAAACAGAGGTTGACTGCCTATCCAATAATTCTTTTATCAATTCACAAATAAGGTTTTGTTTTGTTTTTTTAAACCTGTCCAAAACCCAACAAAAGCAGTATTCTATATTCAATTCTAAGATGAAATAGTCAAGTCAATAAGACTTCAAATTTTTACTGGTACAATAATTTAAATAGTGGGGCTGAGTGGTAGAGTGCATGCTTAATATGTATGAATTCTTAGGTTCAATCACGAGCATCTCAAAGTTTTCTTAAAAATGCATTTAAATTTGTTCACTGACTTGGTTCAAATTCCTTAACAAAGGACCAAGAAGGAATTCAATCAGAAGGTCAGCAACAATGTTGTCAGTGCTATTGGAAAAAGAAATTTAATGGACAGGAGTGATAGCAGCCTGGTGAGGGTAGAGCTGGACTAGTAACTTCTAAGGCATTTTAAAATCTTAGGAATTCTTTGTTCTGAGATATGATTAAATCTGAAGGATGTTAACCTTCTCAAGGAAAAAGCTGGGATGAAGCATGAAATAATCACAGCAGCATAAACACTATGAGGGCTGTAGAGATTATCTAGTCAAATGTTCACACCAGGCGCTTTTTTTTTTTTTTTTCCGGATGCTAGGAATTGAAACTAGGGGCCTCCACTGAGCTACACCACAGAACTCATACCAAGCACATTTGTGCTTTGTGCATGTTCTCTTCTTCATGGAAGGAACTCAGATATTTTTCTGCCTGCTCTCACCCAGTATATCCTCGTTAACCTCTAGGGATATACCAGTTCACAATTTACCTCTGGGTTATGAATCATTAATCTCTGTTCTCCAATGATCTCATTTTATAGAAAAGGAAATAACCAGGTGTCAGATGGCAAGATTAAGCAGAGATGGGGATGAGCAATTAATTAAAAAAAAAAAAAAAAAGTTTAGTTTGTTTTTCAGAAGGACTTGCCTGGTAGCTAGCCTGAACAGGTCATCTACAGTGTCAGGGTGGTTCTGGAGACCATTCTGCTGTTCCAGGAGTTGAAAGGTGGGGATGCACAGTGCCTAGATTAGAACAGTGATTTTAAAAGAAATGCTTATAAAGCTATAGCATTCAGACTTGCCAAATATCACAACAAATACAAAGGTAACAAAAAAGGGAAGCATAGGTGAGAAAAGAAAAAATTGTGATGAGAATCAGATCAGGGAAGCCAGGTGTTATGAAGCATGCCTATAATCCCAGTGACTTGGAAGACCCAGGCAGGAGGACTGCAAGTTCAAGGCCAGCCTCAGCATTTGACAAGGCTCTGTGGCCATGTAGTTTAGTGGTAAAAACCCTGTACTAAGTTCAATCCCCAGTACTAAGGGGGAAAAAAGAGAGAGAGAGAAAGAGGTGGGGTCGGGTAGATGGGATATGAATCAGTAAAAGCAAGAGAAAAAAATTTTCTGATTGAAACTATTTCCACACATGAAATCTACATTTCAGAAGAGGTAAAAGGTATAGATTTCAGTTCATAAAACCAGAAAAATGTCATCTCAAAGTTTTATAAGTTTCTGAAAGCAAAGACACTATTTATAAATGTGATCTAGGGAGTAGATGAAGTTTTCATAACAACCCTGAAATGTCAATTTTACGTGAAATATCATCTTGGGAAAAGGAGTAGCACACTTTAATTCCCTTATCTATTGCTCCTGGGTGACTAGAAAGGAGGAAAAAGTAGTATATTAGAGGCATTTTCCAACACCTGCTATGAACTCCAAAACTCTGTTGCAAAATAAACTAGTTAATTGGCTATTCCAGGCAAGAAATTAAATATACAATTATGTTTGAGTTTGGAAAGCCTATGCTCTCCCACTCCCCTGAAAAAAACTCCACTTCATCACAGGAAAACAAAATCACGCAATACTATTTATAATGATTATTATACTCATGTAGCCAAGTTTGCTCGCTTGCTCTTTCTTTCTGCCAATCTCATCTGTACAGAAAACAAGGAGCAAGTTTCTACATTCCTGTTATGAGGAAATCAACATGCATAGAGGGGAAAACAAAAAGCAAAGAAATAAAGACATAGTGAAGAATACAATGTTTGGCTTTTAGGTCTTCTAGGCCTGATGCATCTGCTGTGCCAAGGAAACACATACCTGGAGCATGTCTAGAAGTCCCTGCCGACAGCCTTCTTCCATGCCATACTCATCAACAAGGATACTGCCAAGGTACAGGAAACAGGAATGCTGATGTACATGGTATACATTCACCATCTGCCAAGGGAAAAAAATTCATCAGTTTTGCAAAGGGTGGTGGGGCACACCTGTAATCTCACTTACAAGAGACTGAGGCAGGAAGATATCAAGTTTGAGGCTATCCTTGGCAACTTAGGAAGACCTTGTCTCAAAATAAAAAATTTAAAAGGGCTGAGGATTATAGCTCAGTAGCACAGAGTACTATCGACCGCCAGGATAAATTTTTTTAAAAAAATTAATTAAAATCTTTACCCTTCAAAAAGTATCAACTTAGGTAGCTATTTTCCAGGAAGCAACTGAGACAGATTGGTCTCTTTAAGGCAATATAGTAAACCCAGGCCCCAATTTCTCCATAATTTTCAAGTTCTCTATTTAAGAATTCTTTCAAGCCTTTGATCTTTTATTTTGCTAAAACAATGTTGTAAGAGAATTGTCCAATATTTCAAACTGGAAGCCATGAGGGCACTCACGTAATATTTGTAAAACTATAACAGTATGTGCTCAAATTTTATTTGCAATATCGACAAGTCTTATTTTTTTTAAGACCATATATAAAACCACAATAGCAACAAAAATATCAAATGTCCTTATCTTGGATAAGACAGTGAAAGAACTCTTTATTTTTATTTTGGGGACTGAATCCAGGGGCACTTTACCACTGAGCTACATGCTTAAGATGCAAAAACTGTTTAAGATTTTGAGTTGATCTTAAACTCATTTATTTTACTTTTTTTAAGTAAAAAACTTATTTCCAATCAAGATATCTCAATTTCAACAAAATAAAATCTTAGTACAGGGGGTTGTGGCTCAGTTGTAGAGAGCATTTGCCTAGGAAATGCCTCTGGTGTGAGGCCTGGGTTCGATCCTCAGTACCACATAAAAATAAACAAAATAAAGGCATTGTGTCCATCTACAACTAAAAAAAAAATAAAATAAAACCTTAGTACAATATGTACATTTAAAATATTTGTTCAGGATTTTTTACTCGAGACACATTCACCCATTTAAAATGCCATTTGATCTTAGTATATAAATTCAACTATGAGCTTGGTGGGGGCTGAAGGATTTAGTAATTCTTCTATTAGCATATGCCATGGAATGAGCAAGCATAAGATAAGAGCTATGAATCTATTCAGTGTTACAGACTCAAAACTATATGCACTACTAATGAATGACTGAAATCAGGGGTTGGTCAACTTTTATTTTGAAGGGCCACACAGTAAAAAGTATAGGCCTTAACAGGCTGTTCAGTCTTCTAACTTACCCATGTAGCGCGCGCGCGTATATACATACACACACACACACACACACACAAAGTCAATAGATAATACTTAAAATGTGGTACACTGGCAAAGTTTATGGCCCTGCTTTGAGGTTAACATAAATACAAATTACTTAGTGATGTAAGCTGAGGCATCTCATATATTGTAGTTCTAGAAGTGAGTACTTCATACAGAAAGTCTTGCTATCATATTGACTTTAAGGATAAAAATAAATAAAATTCATTTTTAACAAATAAGAGATATATGTGAACAACAAACTGTGGTCTATAAAATATCTTTGGGCCAAGAAATAGCAAAGTTTGACTTGCTACAGTTTTTCCCCAAGGAAATTAATCTGTAAGTGCTTAGCTTTGGTATATAAGGGCTGAGCATGACTCATTCTCTTCACAAAATTTCACACTGGAATGTAGTCAGACTACAATTATACAAGAGATTATAAGTTGTTTTCCTTATAGACAACATATCTACCACAGGCACTTATTTCTTTCAAATATTTTTCATTTTGCACTTAATAAATTGAGAGCATTGTGGCAGTAAAACTTTTGATCTAAAGGGTCTTATTTCAAATTCTGTGCATTTAACATTCTGCTTTTGTGGAGAACTTACCTGTGTGACTAGTGGTTGCAGCAGGGCTGCAGAACCTTTGCCTACACAGCGAACAGCAAAGCGAAGGCACCTGCAACAACGCTCTACAATCCGATTATCAGCCCGGTGTTTATTTAGAGTCTCGGATAAAACTGGCCATATCTGAGTCAAAAGAACACAAGAAAGAAAATAATCAATCTAAAAGCTCAAATAGTGCTTCTACGATGGTACTATCTGATTTGGCTTTTAAATGATCTGGATAAAACTTTTTATAAAAATATACATGACCTGATTTTGGCCAGTGTATGCACACACATATGTGCATAGGTTCAACCCATTACCCATCAGTAAAACTTGATCTTTTCTTTTTCTTTTTTTTCCTATTACTGGGAATTGAAATCAGAGCCTACCACATGCCAGGTAAGTCCTCTACCATCAAGCTATATCCCCAGCTCTTTTCATATTTTGAGACATGATCTCACTAAATTGCTCAGAATGGGCTCAAATTTGTAATCCTCCTGCCTGAGCCTCCCAAGTCTCTAGATTACAAGGTGTGTGCCACTGCACCCAGCTAATTTTTTTCTTTTTTGGCAGTACTGAGGATCGAACCTAACACTTCATATATGCTAGTCAAGTGTTCTACCAGTAAGTTATACTCCCAGTCCCTCAATTGCTTCTGAAGAGAAATAAAGTGATTCTAGACTTTTTTTTTGGGGGGGGGGGACTGGGAATTGAACCCAGGGGCACTTTAACCATTGAGCCACACCTATATTTTATTTAGAGACAGAGTCTTGCCGAGTTGCTAAGGCTGCCTTTGAACTTGTAATCCGCCTGTCTTAGCCTTACCAATCACTAGGATTATAGGCATATGCCACCACAGCTAATAGTGATTCTTTAGGAAGAATATGTTTTGTTTTGTTTTTTTCCTTTGGTGTGTGTGTGTGGTGGTGGGGATTGATTGAACTGAGGCCCTTGTACATGCTAGGCAAATGTTCTTCATTGAGCTACACCCCCAGCCCAACAACATGTCTAACTTTACTAAAATGCAGATTTCAATTTCCTAAATTACAACCTTCTTCAACCTTCTTGCATGAGAATGAAAAGAATGGGTTACAGAGGAAGAGATGTTTAAGTAGTTTTAGGAAGGCAGAAGACCTTGAACAGAAGACTGGTGTTAAGGAAACAGCATAATTTGATAAACAATTAAGGATATTTAAGATTTATACAATCCCCCTCGAGTCTGAAGCTCACTCCTCACAACTATGACTCCTGATTTTCACATTTTCCTCAGTGAACAAAAGTATAAGGGAAATATGTTTTCAACAGGGAAACTGAAGCCACTAGCTTTGTCAAAAACATTATGCTAAGATTTACCAGTCCTCCTAGAAATTCTAGGAATCACACACAGTTAAATCTCTTTCTATTTCTTCTTTGGCCTTTCAGTGTTATTTCCCCACAGCTGGCTTTGTTATCCAATCTAAAATTAAAAGTATCTGGGTGGGGCTTAGGATACAGCTCAGTTGGTAGAGTTCTTGTCTTACATGTACAAGGCCCTGGATTCAATCCCTAGCACCACAATTAAAAAAAAAAGTATTTGGATGACTCTGTTCCTCATTTCACTGAAATTGGAACCCTACAAACAAATTTAATATCCTTATGAATTTAGAAGAGAATACCTTATTAACCCAGTTACCCAAAGCCTAGAAAGAACAGAAGAAACCTTTGAAAGGAACACAAGAAAGCCTTGATTCCATAGGCATCCATTAATACTTACTTCCTGTATGACTTTTTGGCATGGATGAGTCTGTCCATTTTCCACAATGGGATTGGTATGTCTGAGAAAAGAAAAATTGTTAAAGGAGAATAATTTTGCTGAGGACCCAGAGCCTTTTCCCTGTTTGCTTACTTAGTATATCTTTCTTTCAAATGAAGAAAACCAGATAATACACTCATTTACTTATATCAACACCTTTCCCTCTATTCCTTTCACACCAAAAAAGCACACTTTAAACCATATTATCATTTTTTAAATTTTTTTTATTTTTAGTTGTAGTTGGACACAATACCTTTATTTATTTATTTATATGTGGTGCTGAGGATCGAACCCAGGGCTTCGCATGTTCTAGACGAGTGCTCTACCACTAAGCCTGAGCCACAACCCCAGCCCCATATTATCATTTTTTACCACCACTATGCCACTTCCACTATAATGTTCAAATTCTATTCTAACTCTGGTTACTAGGGATATGGGGCATTACTTCTACCTTTTCCATATCCCGTCCCTTTTGTAAACACAAATATGTAGTTTCTTCTAAATTAATAATAAAAATATACACAAGCTGTTTGAATCTACCACGAAAAACTGAGTGCTGCTAGCATTAAAAGACAAAAATCTTTAGGCCTTGTTGTCTATCAGAAATGTTTCTTGTAATTCTATTCTGAACCCAATGATAAACAATACAGATCCACCCGTAAGTTAAATCCAACTCTTCTATTTCTGGAGTCCACTAATTTGAAGAAAAACAAGGGAGAAAAAAACTGCAGGATTACTAACTCCATACTACTCTTTAAAATTTTAAATATTTTTCTTTTTGCAATACTTGGGGGATTGAACCCAAGGTCTTGTACCTCCTAGGTGAGTACTCTACCACTGAGCTCCATCCTCAGCCCTATTCTTCGATTTTAAAAACTCAAACACAACATAATAAAAATCTGATTTTCTTTAATTCAAGCATTTACATCTATCACAAATTTTCTTTCATTTAATGTAAAATAATATTATCAATAGGTTCTCAAGAATGGCATGCAATAGGGCTTTCCTAATTACATAAGGAAAACTCTGCACCAAAATAGAAAGATATTTGTTGACAATAGCTAAGAAGCAAAAACAATACCTTTATTTTAACTTATCCCACATACATTTTCTTTTCTTCCTTTCTTTTTCTTTTTTTTTTTTGAGGTGCTAGGGATTGAACTCAGGGCCTTATGCACACAAGGCAAGCACTCTCCAACTGAGCTATACCCCTAGCCCTCCACAGAGGTTTTCTAAGTGAATACTACTCTGACGTATATACCCATGGGGCCCATGAGTTTATAAATTGTGTAATTTAGTCAAGATCGAGCTCTGAATGTTATTCAAATGCCTTTTTAATTATTGAGCTCCTCTTCACAGGAGGATTAATTTCATCTGATTATTGAAGATGGTTTTATTATTATTATTTGGGCCATATACCATATAGCAATGATTCTGAAAGTGTGGTCTTTAGAATAGCAAGCAGCATCACCTGGGAATTTATTAGATTTACAAATTTGGGGTTACTACCAAGATCCAATGAATCAAGACACTTGAAGGATGGGAACTAACATTTTTTTTTTTTTTTTAAAGAGAGAGTGAGAGAGGAGAGAGAGAGAGAGAATTTTTAATATTTATTTTTTAGTTCTCGGCGGACACAACATCTTTGTTGGTATGTGGTGCTGAGGATCGAACCCGGGCCGCACGCATGCCAGGCGAGCGCGCTACCGCTTGAGCCACATCCCCAGCCCGGGAACTAACATTTTTGTTTTGATAAACTTTCAAGGTGATTCTGACACATGGTAAAATTTAAGAATCCCTGAAAATGTATTCTTTCACTGAAAGAATCATATTTAGGGGCTGGGGGTTGTGGCTCAGTGGTAGAGTGCTTGCTTAGCACATGCAAGGCCCTGGGTTCGATCCTCAGCACCACATAAAAAATAAATGAAACAAAGGTATTGTGTCCAACTACAACTTTAAAACAGAATCATATTTATATATAATTATACATATAAATTATATAATTTGCATAGTTATATACAAATTAAAACTACACATAAATTATTTATAATTATTATATACTATATAATACTATCACACATAATTATTATATATAATGTGTGTGTGTGCGCGCGCGCCCATGTTTTCCTCCCCACCTCATCCCCACCCCTAGTACTAGAGATTGAACCCAGGGCACTTAACCACTGACTTTTATTTCCAGTCCTTTTTATTTTTTGAGACAGTCTTACTAAGCTGGTAAGGCTACAACCCTCCTATCTCAGCCTTCTAAATAGCTGGGATTAGGTGTTCCACCAGAACTAGTTCAATTATATATATTTTGGGAGAAGGAGGGTTCTGGGGATTGAACTCAGCGGCACTTGACCAATCAGTCACATCCCCCCAGTCCTACTTTGTATTTTATTTACAGACAGGGTCTGAGTTGCTTAGTGCTTTGCTTTTTGCTGTGGCTGGCTTTGAACTGGTGATCCTCCTGCCTTAGCCTCCCAAGCTGCTGGGATTATAAGCGTACGCCACCATGCCCAGCGTTCAATTATGTTTTTAAAGGGTCTTTTGACAGAGATAATCCAAGAATTAATTCTCAAAATTTGACTTTGTACCAAAACTTCAGTAACAGGCTTAGTCTCCTGAAAGAGAGCATTATGAAAGTACTTCAAAATATAAGGAAAAAAGTTTGCTTATTTCATCATATATAATGGATTCATCTGAAATTTTAACCCAAGTAAGAAATCCAGAGTCTCCCTTCTTACCTAAATATCACTGCCAGGCGATCTAAGAACACAGTGGGATCTGAGGATATGCCATTGCTGGGCTCCTGAGACAACAGCTGAAGAGACAGAGAGACATTATCCAGTGGTCACAAGTACAAATCCATAGCAAACACCACAAATCCTTAAACATCAATTCTGTCTCAATTTCTGCTTATCTCCTTATAACAGCGTCTTAAAATTACTCAAATGCTGTAAACTTAATTTAAATTGTCAAAAATTTTTCTTCATCACCCTGTATCTTAAGCCTGTATATTATATTTTACGCTCATATACTTAGGAGCAGAAATTTTATTTTCCCCCCCACAGATTAAGATATTATTCACATTATATATTATAATGTAGACTGAATATGTTGTTATATTATAATTAAATATATGTAAGATAATGTATTTATATTTAGCTTTATGCTATAAAGCTTTCAAATTATAGCTTTATAATATACTCCAAGCAAGTTGCCAATCATTCTTCTTTCCTAAATCATTTTCTTTCTTTCTTTTTTAGTACTGAGGATCAAACCCAGGACCTCACACTTGCTAGGCCTTGCTCTAACAAGCAACATGCCTAGTCCCTGAAAATTTCTTAGATAAATTTCTACCAGTGTATTATTAGAGATGAATTCTAGAATCATTATATCAAGTTATAAAAACCCTACCATATGTCTACAGTTATTGTGCTAAAAATGTACATTAATAGACATCTTTAAAATATAAGAGAGCCAAGAATGTAGCTCAAAGGTAGAGTACTTGCATAGCAGGTGCTATATAACCAATGTTTGGTTAATGATGAACCATTTATTTATACAATGGTGTTACCATAAGATTGTAAAAGGACTGAAAATATCTTTTTTGTCTAGTAACTTTGTAACTGTCCTAACATCAGAGTGCAAGACGTTACTGATGTGGTTTTTGTGGTGATGCTGGTATAAACAAACCTATTGTGCTAATGGTAGAAAAGCATCGCACAGTTGGGCATGGTGGCACATGCTTGTAATCCCAGCTACTGAGGAGCAGAGGTAAGAGGAGCACAAGTTTGAGGCTAGCCTAGGCAACTTAGAGAGACCTTGTTTCAGTAAATAAAAAGGGCTGTGATGTAGCTTAGAGGTACAGTGTCCCTGGGTTCAATCCCTATTACCACTCCTTCCCCTTCAAAAAATATAGCACATACAATTGAGTACAATACATAAAACTTGATAACAATGATCACTGCTGGTTTATGTATTTACTATACTATACTTTTTTATCATTATTTTAAAGTGTACTACTTCTAGATGGGCACTGTTGCACATGCCTATAACCCCTAGTGACTTAGAAGGCTGAGCCAGAAGGGTCTCAAGTTCAAGGCCAGCTTTGGCAATTTAACAAGACCCTGTCTGAAAATAAAAAATGGCTGGGGAGATAACTCAGTGGTAGAATGCCCCTGTATTCACTCTCCAGTATAGCCAAATTAAAAAAAAGAAAGAAGAAAAAAGGGTACTCTTTTAGTTATTAAATTTTTTTTTACTTAAAATAGCATGCCATGGATATACCAGAAGCAGTCTCTATCTCATGTTCACTGCATCTCTTGACAGTATCCAAGAGGCCAAGTCAAGTGATTGACCTAAACAATCTAGGTCTGTATTAAGTACACTCTATCGTACACAAAAATAGAGAACAGTCTACTACCCAGGGGCACTTCTCAGAATATATCCCTGTTGTAAAGGAATGCACTAGTACTTTTTTTCTTATATGTAGCTACTTTGATACTTACTAATTTTAATAAATTTTCAGTTTATTCTTTTGGCTTTTCTAGGCAGATGAAAGACAAGTAAGTAATTTTGTCTTATTTTCTAACATATTAATATCTTATATTTGTTTCTTCCCTTGTTTAATTGGACTCACCTTTTTCAATGCCATAACCTGAACAGAACATAGTTCACTAAGACATTCAGTAATCTTATCCAACGGTAATCTGGCAAGGACAAGAGCTGTCCCTGAAAAACAAAGGAAGATGCAAATGAAAATAATTGAATTAATTCAATTAATCAGTCTACACCATACAGACTAACAGAAAAAGCTGACTGGTTTCATTATTTTAAAAAACTCAGCACTGTTTTTAAGAAGCAATATTTTGTTATCTATGATTTTTTTTTTCTTTATTTGGCTTAAAAGACCACAGGCTGACTATCACGTTGAGTTTTATAACCAAAGTTGTTACTAATAATATTCTCTGTAGCGCTAACTGGTTTAAAGATGGTGTAAATATGCCTTCCCTTCCAATTATTCAAAGACTTTAAAAATCTCCTTTAAAAAGCAAATGCCAAAACTATTTCTATACACTATTAATGTAATATTTCTCATCCTTCACAATCTCCTTTAAAAAGCAAATGCCAAAACTATTTCTATACACTATTAATGTAATATTTCTCATCCTTCACAGAGATTGTGATTTAGTGGGTCAAGAGGAGACTTAATTTTTTCTAAGTACTTCAGGCAAATACAATCAGAGAAGTTTGAGAAACACTGACACAATACTTTTAGGAAGGATGCGCTGAAGTCAAAGATTTCATTTGCATTCTACCATAACACATTCTGTGAGCTTTGTGAAACATTATCTCTGAGCCTCAGTTTTTTTTTATGTGTGAAAGTGATTTGAATAGAAAATTAATAATCAAGCTACCTTTATCTTATCAGCATTTTCCCCCAAAATAAATGCTACCTTTGAGCTCAATAAAATAAAAAACAAAACAAAACAAACAATCCACAAATCCACAAGAAACCATGTTTAGATTCAGTGGGGCCGGAAGAAGGATTGGTTCTTTCAGTCAGTCTTCCTCTGGTTCAAATACCTTTTCTATCCCCACCAACCACTGAAATATTTTCCCCAAATCCAAAGAAACACATATCAGCCAAATCCAAAGAAACACATATCAGCCAGAGTCCCTGCAAAGTCAAAAACCCTCTGATTCTTATTCATTTCTTTAATTATCATTCAATATAACAGTAATCCTTAAAATCTGAATTTAAAAACTGAGTGATTTTTTTTTTCCCAGCAGTCTATGAGCCATAGATAGGTTAGACATTTCTTTAAAACTAGAAGGGAGGGAAGTGGTTGGGGGAGGTGTAACTTAAATACACTTTACCACTGAGCTACATCCCCAGCCTTTTTAATTTTTTAGACAGAGTCTTGCTGAATTGCTGAAACTGGCCTTAAAATTGTGATCATTCTGCCTCAGTCTCCTGAGTTGCTTGAATTATAGATGTGTATCACCATGCCTATCTTTTAATTTTCATTTTTAATTCATTTCTACAGAAGAGAATGTAAATAAAAACTCTTCTATATCTAGAAGATATTGTAACTGGAAGCCATAATCTACTACAAGTTAGATATTACTTTAGTATCATAGTTAAATTTCACTAGAAAATAATAAGAAAGAACAGCTGACTGATTTAATCAATGCCTTATTATCTACACCCATGAAGGCAAAACCTATGGTATGAAAATAAAATCTATGGGAAAAGTGCAGTCATATTAACTGGTAAGGAACCTGGTCACAGAAATAAGAGAATTAGTTCATGCATAAGGTCTTCTAAAGCCTTGCAAAGGCTGTTTGATGCCCACAGAAACTCAGACACTGTACAGTTTGTATTATCCGACCCTTTATTTAAAATATTCCAACCCTCTCTACCAGCTATAATGATTTTACTACCTGATAGAACACTCCAATCTGTCTTCAGAAAGAAAGACTAGAAATTGTTTTCTTTCTAGGAGCCAGTATATATTTCCCTATATGCGGTTGATAATTCCTCAAAAATAAACAGGATCCACTTTTTTTATAAAGTAATCTTTCAAATGTTTATAAATAACCATCCTGTTTAAAGTCTACTCTATTTTTTTTAATTGGGTATTGAACCCAAGGTACTTTAAATGCCCAATCCTTTTAATTTTTTTAAATATATATATTTTTAGCTGTAGATAGACACAATACCTTTATTTTATTTACTTAGTTTTATGTGGTGCTGAGGATGGAACCCAGTGCCTCACATGTGTTAGGCGAACACTCTACCACTGAGCCACAACTCCAGCCCCTTTTTATTTATTTATTTATTTTTAATTATTATTGTTTTTTTTAGTTGTAGTTGGACACAATGCATTTATTTATTTATTTATTTACATGTGGTGCTGAAGTTCGAACTCAGGGCCTCATACATGCTACGCCAGCGCTCTACTGCTGAGCCACAACCCCAGCCCTGCTTTTGAGACAGGGTCTCACTAAGTTTCTCATGCTGGCTTTGCAATTCTCTTGTCTCAGCCTCCCAAGTTATGTGCTACTACACTCCACTATATTTTTCCCTAAATCTGTTTTTTTCTTTTCTTTTCTTTTCTTTTTTTTTTTTTTGGTACTGGGGGTTGAACCCAGTGGTACTTAACCAATGAACCACATCTTCAGTCAATTTTATTTTGAGACAGGGTCTAAGTTATTTAGGGCTTCACTAAGTTCCTGAGGCTGGCTTTGAACTATGGATCCTCCTGCCTCAGCCTCCCAAGTTTGTGCCACCATGCCCAGCTATCTCCAGTCCTTTTTATTTTTATTTTGAGGCAGGGTATTACTAAGTGGTTAAGGGTTTCTCTAAGTTGATGAGACTGGCCTTGAATTTACAATCCTCCTGCCTTGGTCTCCCAAGTCTCTGGAATTATAGGCATGAGCCACTGCACCCTGCTTTCCCTAATCTTAATAACTCTGGTTCTATTAGCCTAAGCCCCTAACCACTGTGTTTGGTAGGCAGACACACAGTGTAAGCTGATCAGTAATGATCGAGACTAATACGAGACAAGAACCCTTGGCTTCAACATATGGCACTGATCCATGCACACCAACTTTCAATATCTACTTAATTCATTTTTATAGCACTACTTCCTTAGTAAGTCTAATGTAAAAAGTAACTGTATTTAGTTCAAATGTGCTGCCTCCACCCAAAATCTATACCTGTGCTTTACATACTTGCCAACAGCATGATTTAATTTTGTAGACTTTAAAATATCTTTTTTTGGTAGTGGTGCTGGGGATTGAACCCAGGGTCTCATGCATGCAGGGCAAGCACTCTACCAATTGAGCTATAGCCCTGGCCCCGACCTTAAAATATCTTAAGAAAACAATGCATGTACACCCTCCCCTGAATGGAAAAGCTACCTTCACTATCATTAAGTTTATTACAACTGAAAAACAATTTTATGATGTATATAAAACAACCCCAAATAGAAGCTCAGAGGAAATAGTTACTGGTTAGCATTATTAAATAAATACCTTTTAGCAAGCCCACTGCAGCTTCCGGAGAAAACATGAAGGAGTCAAGAGAACGAGCAATCTCCAGGAGTCCATTAAAGTGCTGAGCCATGTGATCTCGACAGACAGAGCAAATATTATGAATGGCTTTGGCTGCAGCAGAAGCCAGAGGCTTTTCACACAGGCCTTTCATCAAATAGCCCAACACAGGGTCTGGAAAGTAAAGCAGAGATTATAAATCTGAAACTCAAGGAAAACTTCTAGCTAAAGCAGAGGTTTACAATTTTTTAAAGTAAAAGAATATTTTTTAAACAACAAAGTATATAAAGAATCCCCAATAGAAAAAGCATAAAGCTGAGCATGGTGGCGTATGCCTGTAATCCCAGAGACTTGAGAGGCTGAGGCAGGAGAAATGCAAGTTCAACATCAGCTTCAGCAACTTACTGAAGCCCTAAGCAATTTAGTGAGACCCTGTCTCAAAATAAACTAAAAAGGGCTTGGGATGTGGCTCAGTGGTTAAATGCCCCTGGGTTCAATCCCCAGCACCAAATAATCAATCAATAATAAATATATAAATTAAAAAGCATAAAAACAGAGCTGATCTGACAGACACAGTGTTAGGAGGCCCTGAGCCTTATCTATTTCATCTTCCATTTCTTCCCTTATGTTAGTCAACTATTCCTTCTAACTGTCTGGATTCCTGAAGTACAGTTTGAAAACCACTAATTCCACAGTATATATGGTCATTTAGTTATTAAAATATGTTAATGAAAGGAAGAATGTAAAGCTCAGAGGATTACCATTATACCAAGAGATGAATCATTTAGTAAAACAGCCTACACTAATAAGGACAATGATAGTTGTCTAAAGCTGACATTTTTATATTTGTATCTTTCTAGTTATATTTGTATCTTTCTAGTTATAAAAAGCTATAAATTTATGTGGAAGAATCTTTAGCACTTCTAGATAAATTCATTAAAAACTGTTTAATTAAAACTATGTCTTGGGTTGGGGCTATAGATCATTGGTAGAGCACCGGCCTTGCAAGTTTGAGGCACTGAGTTTGATCCTCAGCACCACATTAAAATAAATAAAGATACTATGTCCAACTACAACTAAAAAAAAATATTTTTTTAAAAAAATCTATGTCTTGGGGGACTGGGGTTGCAGCTCAGCAGATAGACCAGTCGCCTAGCATGTGCAAGGCCATTGGCTCTATCCTCAGCACCACATTAAAATAAACGTATTGCATCCAACTACAACTAAAAAAAATTTAAAAAAAGTAAACTAAAAAAACAAAAACAAAAAACTGGGTCTGGGGCTGTGGCTCAGCGGTAGAGCATTCGCTTAGCACATACAAGGCCCTGGGTTCGATCCTCAGCACTACATAAAAACAAATAAATAATATAAAGGTATTATGTCCAACTACAACTAACTAAATAAATATTAAAACAAAAAAATGTCTTAATTTTGCCAAATGCTAGTGTTCCAAGAAAGTTAAAGAAAGTTAATATGTAAAAATGAATTTCTTTGTGTATATATGTGGGGATTGAACTCAGGGCCTTGGGTATACTTTATCATTAAAGTATACCCCCCAGTATTTCTACTCATCTTTTCCCCTCAGAATGTATCCCTTTTAATGTCAGGGCCTTAATACATATTACACTGGATTAATTACTTACTTTGGGTTTTAAGAGTTCTTATCTACAAAATGAAGGGATTAGGATACATGGTTTCTAATTTGACCTTCAATTCTAACATTATTTTATATGAGTTTTACTTATTTTTTCAAGTCAACAAGTGTAGACAAGTTATATTTCTCACTGCTATTCATTTTCACTTGTATTTATTTTGTTTTGAATGATAATTCTCAAGTTTTTAAATGGAGCATGTACTTAACACAGAGAACCCCTCTCCTTTAGTCTATGAGTGTTTCTAGGTTAGAACTACAGACAGATTAACTCATACGTTTTGCCAAAGACTAGCAAAACCAGACCTTAAGCAAAGTACCATTCCTTTTCCTTGTCTAGAGATCTAATTTTTCAAAGGTCCTTTGATTACAAATGTTGTGTCATGTATGCAACTTATATTTATTCTGTCTACAAACATTCTACTTATCAGTAAAAAAGAAAGCAAGAAAAGAATAAAAGTAAGCAAGGAAAAGAAAATAAGAAGCAGCAGGACATGGGAGAGCTTACACATACCAAGGAACTGAGGATTTCGATCAACCACTTCACTCATTTCTCCAACCAACTCAATGCTGGTGTACCGCACGGCTGTATGGACAGTCTCTGGGAGACGAACAACTCCTTCTAGGACCTCCACCAATGTTGGATTGTTCTCCCTGAATATAAAAAGCAAGCACTCAGTTACTGACTATAGAGATTATGTTCTGGCCAAATAACAGGCTACAGTGAAACACTGTACTGCTACAGGGCTTCTTTCTAAAGAAATAACCATTCAAATAAAGGTGTTTTAATACTGGGTAAGAATGTTTCTTAAATCCTCACAAAAGATGAAAGATAACATTGTTTCAGGAGAAGTACTTTCATCTTTTCAATGTGAGGAAAGTGTTTAAGGCCTCATGATGCTATCAAAGAGAGGCTCTTCCAGTGGGAAAGGCAGACATTCACTGGGGATTAAAGTCTTCTTTTAAAGAATCTATTTCATTTATTTCTATATCTGTAGCACCTTATTTTTCCCTAGGGGAAACTAAGCCTGGAACAGTGCCTGGCACATAGTAGGCACCCAACAAATATTGCTGAATGGCTAAATGAATAACTCTCACAGACCACTTTCTATTACTTGCTATTCTTTAAAAGATTTCTTATGGCTGAATACCGGAAACTTTAAGAACACAAGAGTATGGGTAGACCAGTTCACTAACTAAAATAAAAGAACACAAAAACAAGCTACAGCAATAGGTTAAGGTGCTCCAATATGAAACACATGGGAAAATTAAAGTTAGGTATTTTCTATAGTGACATGAATTCATCTCCATCCCCAGTCCAATATTACTGGCTAAGGTTTTTTTTAAAACAGAGTGAAAGTGGCAGGACTTAATCCAGAAATTAAGATGTTTAAAATATAAGAAGTATTCTGGATTAGACCAAGTGCACCCCCTACTGACAATAAGGTCCATTAAGCCTTTTAAATGGATTAAAAAATTATAATTATTCAGTTGGCTTGACAAGCAAGTAAACAATAGAAAAAAATCTTCTCTCGTTTACACCTTATTTTTCCCTAGGGGACACTAAGTCAATTACTGAAGATTACCTATACATCTTTTTCAAGCAAGAACAGTAATGACTTTAAAACCTTCAGAATGTTCTAAAACAACACCAAACCAGATTAGATTGAAAAGCAAACAGTATAATACATAATTATGAACTAGAACTTCTTAATAGAGAAAAATAAACCCACTCTATCTCTATGAGTATTTATTATATAGAAACAATGTAAGATATCAGTGACTAAGTCCTGAAAGGCAACTCAGAAAGAAGTACTGTGCTTTTAATAAATACCTGCCTTAACTATCTTCCCATCAAGGCCCTGAATAAAGAGTTTGAGTGCAGGTATCTGATCAAAATACAAAGTAATATGACAGATATTAACACCAATGTATAAATTCATGGTACAAAGTAAATTGTCTTTACAGTTTCATGTCTTAAGCAGATTTCCTATGCTAAGCAATTTAAAATCAAATCTGAAATAACTTAAAAGTTTTCAATGGCAATAATAAAAATAACAACTGCCCTTAAGATATTGCTGTTCTTTTAGATGAAATGGTGCCTATGCCTTGACTCTCTGATATTCACAAATGATTCTCTAAGACAGAAAAAAGGAATACAATATAATTAAATATTTGTAAAGATAATATGCACAAGATCAAAAAAGCAGAAGACCCAAATTAATACCTATTCAATTGCTTTTAAGCAAGAACCAACAATTTAATAGTCTAATGAATTATTGATCTATACCTACTTTTAGAAGGGTGCCATGATTGGAAAAATAAATCAGCATTCTATTCCTAGCATCAAAAGTAAAATAATTTTACCTCTAGAAAGTGTGATTAAAACATGGCAACAGAAATGCAGGCCATCCTGGACTAGTCAGAACACTAGAAAACACTATAGAAGGTAAAAAGTTCTAAGAGTTTCCAAACATATACCAAATAGGAGAAAAAAATGTGTAATTTTCCTTCCTCTTGATATTTAGAATTCCCAGCAAAAGATTTATTAGACACTCACGGATCAACACTCTTTGCTATAGCAGCCATGATAAAGAGAACCGCTTCTGTCACCTCCCAGGGTGGGTTGCCTTCTTTCAGAGTAGAATATAACTAGAGAAGAAGAGGTGGATTGTGGATCCATTAAGAGGAAAACAGAATACCAAAACAAAAAACATTGTTAGTTAAAAGAAATCCAGCTCCTTGTTTCTAAATCTAATTATCTCTCACAGCCAGGCAAGAATATTTTTATTTTTCACATCCTCACTAATTAAAACTGTTATTTTAATATTTGAAATACACCCATTTATACCCCCTACAAGAATTTATCAAGACTTCAGAAAATGAGTATAATGGGAAAAACAAAACATATTATATTAGTGTCTTTTTTTGGTCTTGATAATTGATAAATACATACACACTCAAAATGGAGATACAATATAAATCTTCTGCATGTATATTGGCTGTACCTTTCTACTATTTTAACTATTTGCACCAACACTAATAATAGAGGCTAAACTCCTGTAAAAGCACCTATTTAGAAGGATCTATTGCAATACTATATCCAAGAAGAATATTTTTAAGAAGCAATCAGAGATGTTCTGGTCCAGAATTTTCCAGGTAATAGTCACCTATGGAATGTGACTAGACATTAACCTAAGTAAGACTTCTATGATCAAATAACAGATACTACCAGGAAAGACAAAATTAAACAACTCTCTTGTCTGACCTTACAGAGGCTTTAATATACTATATTAGCATACACCTGTAATCCCAGGCTAAGGTAGGGATTCAAGGCTGCCCTCAGCAACATAGCAAGGGCTTATCTCAAAAAATACAAAGGCTAGGGATATGGCTCAGTGGTAAAGCACCCCCACCCCCGTGTTCATCCCCCAGTACCCCCCCCAAAAATATATATATACTATTCCAGATCATTTCCCAATTTTACTTAATTTAACTCCTTTCCTCCTCCCTCAAACATAAGAAAACATCTCATAGACTGTTATTCCACAGAGCACATCCTGGCAACATGATTAATTAATATAAATTAACCAGAGCCAGTGAGGAAAGAGCTAAAATCTGTACGCAAGTCTTCTGCCTAGAGTCTAGGGATCTCACTAAACTTCCTAAGAAATCTCTAACCCTTCATAGTTGAATCAAAAACCATGCTTTGTAATGAAAATAGTTATAAGTTTATTAACACTTCCTAGATCAGATTATGGTCAAATACATACAAAGTGACTGCAAAATTCCTTTAAGTTAGTTTGGTATTGATATATAGCAAAGGATCCAAACCAGTACTTCAGAGATCATTAGAGTATGAACCAGAAATATGAAAACCACCTGAAATTATGCTAATGTTAAGTGATGTGGAATGATGATGATTGTAACCTTATGAGATAAAATGTTACTCACTGTCAGGAAAACCACAGGACTATGAATCTTCTACTCTACTATAGTCATCCTCTGGGATGAAGCTGCACAGGAAATCTAACCTTAAGTGTGGACAAAGGAAATGCCAAATAACTAAAAGAGTTGCCAGGAGTTGGTACATAGTCCAAATTCCGTATATGTATCCTGGAAGCTTTAATGCTTATCTGTGATCTTCCATTCTAGCTGCACAAGTGGAATAGCTCTTATTAGCCAGAGTAACAGAGTTCTCCATAACTGAATTATCCACAGACTGCAGTTGCCTTGTTAGATACTAAATAAACATAGCTTAAATATGCCAGGCAATGTGCTAGGCACCTGTATAACTACTATTCCATTTAGCCATTAAGCTTGAAGAAATATGATGGAACATTAACAGAAGACACAGAAGTGGAAACAATTAAGGTGATCAGTAAAATTGACTCAAGAATTTCCAAACAGGCTTACCTGAGCAAAACACTCCATAGACCCAATCAAGAAAATCAAATCTTTCACCAGGTCTGATACCCGCATCCGAAACTCTCCAAAGTCATCAGTTTCCTCAGGAACCCCCTCCTGAAATTTCAAATCAGGCAGCATTTATTTTAAACTCACTGAGGCTTTCAATGATGTCTATAAAATCAATAGAGAAGAAAAAGTCATTAAGCAGTCAAGTGCCAGTGAACCAAAGTTGCCTAAATCACAAGGGTACTTTACATTAGAGAGTCTCCAAATTGTTAGGGAAGGTAAGACAACATAACTTATCCCTTACCCTTATTTGAAGAAATTCTTCCATTTATGTGTATATGTGTGTTTTGTATTCCCAAGACACACTTTGTTTTGCTTTAAAAAGAACGTGAGTAGGGGTGGGGGTGATCAGAAGTGACTAGGAAGAAGTGATAAATTTAAAGAGTTATAAGCCTACTCCTAGGGAAGGTCAGCGCTTAAGCACTGAACAAGTCACTACAGCTTCAGTGTTCAAAATCTCCCAAAAATCAACCATTATCATAATAACTTCCAAAGAAAATAGAATTTTAGACTTTAAATGCTTCCTATCTAAACAAACTTCTATAAGTAAAAAAGGGTTACCAATTAATTTATAATTTTGAGATGGTTAAGGGCATGGTATAAGAATCTTGGGCCATGAAAACCTGAAAAAATTCCTTAGTTCTATTAAGAATTGTTGGTCTCATGATGAAGAAATGATGGCTGTCTCAGATGAAATAATGGATAACATTATAAAGCACTGTATAGTTACAATTAGAAGAAAATATCTGCAAGGGAAATGGTGCCACTGAACTAGCAAAGGGAAGATGATCAAATAGAAAGACCATTCAAACCATAGAAGCCCTGCTTTTTATTTACATATCAGTCTTCCAAGTAAAATGTAAAGATAAGATTCCTTGGTTTAAAAAAAAAAATCTGAGCATCATAAAACAAGGTCATCAGTAAAGTTCTATGGAGATACAATTCAGATTGGGGATGTAGGTCAGTGACAAGAGCATTCGCCTATCATGTATAAGGCCCTAGGTTCAATCCCTAGCAAACCACCCCTGCCCCCCCCAAAAAAAGAAAGAAAAAATATCATGTCTAATTTAATGGTAATCAATTAAATTTACTCCAGGTCCTAGATTAAAATGATCAACCAAACAAATGAAATAAATGAGGCAAAATTTGGGAGAGACTAAGAAAAAAGGTTCAAGAGTTTTCCAACGAACTATTTGGTAATATTTCTAGTATGTTTTCTTATATGCTAATATATTATTTCTATATTTTCTCTTAAATTATGAGGTCAGTATAAATAATATAAATAAAAGTATGTATGTGGGGAGAAGTCATGAAATTTCCAATACCTTCACAAATATTTCCCTTTTATGTTAATCTAAGCACACATTTTACACTATTAAAAAAACAGTATAAAGCTCCTCATTCTGATTTTTTTTTTCTTAGCATACCATACTCTTTTTCAGTAGTCATTATTTTACAATGTTCCATCAATTTGCTATGAGTTATGTCACTCTTCTTATACTGTTATTCATGATTTGTCATTTTCTACTTTTACAGATAATATTTTGTACATAAAAGTGTTTCTTCTGAAGGATTTTTTAAAGATAAATCCTTGGAAAAGAATTACTGTCTCAGCAAGAGCAATATTTGTGAACATAAGCCTAATTTGTCTTTATTAATACTGCTATTGACTTTGTCACTGTAACCTAAACTGACAAAAATCAAAAGATTCTATCAGCTCTATTCTCTATCTTTTCAGTTTCTTTCCAAATTAGCACTGAAAAGAGGAGAAAATTAAATGAAGAAGTAGAGAAGGAAACTTACATGGTCCGGTTCTAACTGGCAGTGTCGAGCTAAGGCATGAAGCAGCCTCTGAATGTAAGCTTTGAAGATGCCATGAATAACTTCATCGTTAGTTTTGTACAAATGCTCCCCTAGTCGGTACCAAAAGTTAAAGGAAATTTCTACTACCTGTCAGATTACAAGAGAAGAGATTATTTATTTGAATGGGAAAGAAATAGATTCAGTCAGTTTTATTATTTCTAAGGCCACATAAGAAAGATTTACCTAATATGAGGACCAGTTAATGAGTCCCCCTTTTCTCTAGACCTCAAATATGTCCACCTACATTTAGCATGACTAGATTACATTTTCCTATTTACTCATGGGATAACTGCTTCTAAAGTTATATTGGATTATGAATTTAGAGAAATAGATACTGAGATGAAGTCCTTTTAAAAGTATTTTTCCCAAACTATAAAATCACTTCAATATATTTTTGAGATTAGAACATTTCTTACCGTCAAACCATGTAATTCCTTGAACATAACTGAGTCAGCCTCCTGTCATATGTGAGGTGCTATACTTCTCCCCAGAATGATTTGGGTTTCATTCAAATCTAGCTGTCCTCATGAAATTATACAAAACAAATAAACTTCTCTTATGTAATAAAAGAAAAAGGATGGAGATTCACAAACGTGCTTTGCCTACGAGTAATCACAATTAAGAGGCAGCCCTACCATTTTTTTCCCATCAAGAATCCAAGATAGAGACACTCAAAACAATATCCAACTTGGAAGTACTTTTTTCACGTTTCTTATACTATAAAGAGGAGGTAAATGAAGAAAAATATTTTAACCTCGAAATTTAAGAGAGCGGGGTATTGCCAGGTGCAGTGGCACACATCTATAATCCTAGCCATTCAGGAGACTAGGGCAGGACAACTCAGCAAGACTCAGTTTCAAAATAAAATAAAAAGGGTTGGGCTATAGCTCAGTGGCATCATGTTCCTGGATTTGATTCTAGTTATCACCCCATCCTCACCAAAGGGCAAGGCAAATGTCTTAAAGATAGCCTTTTCAATCCCTTTCTCATTCACATCCCTCATGTGGAGAAAAATCTGACATGTGAAGATTTGTGGAGATTCAGTTAGGATACAGTATATGTTATAGTTTGATCTTGAAGGTCTCCCAAAGATTTATGTGATGAAAGTTTGGTCTCCATCCATTCCATAACATTACTGGGAGGTGGTGGAACCTTTAGGAGGAAGGGTCCAATGAAAGAAGTTGGGTAACTGAGGACATGCCCCGAGAGGTAGAGACCCTAGCCCTCCTCTTCCTCTTTTGCACACAGCTGGGATTCGTTGGCCATGCACTTACAGCCATGATTTACTACTGCCGGGCCACAAGCCCCAAAGCAATAGGGCCAACAAAACATGGACTAAAACATCTGAAACTGTGAGCTAAAATAAACCTTTCCTCTTTTAAAAAGTTGATTATTCAAGTATTTTGTTACAGTAATGGAAAGCTGATGAACAATGTAGTTTTAAACTGTAAAGCTCTAGAGAAGCAACACAGCTGAAAAGGGGACTCAGTGAGAAGGCAATAAGCTTTTCTAATAGGTTTTTTGAGGGATCTACAACAGACAATCCAGCAAACCAGGTAAGAAAATGGAAAAGGATATAAAGTAGAAACTCAAAAGCAATTTTTGAAAAATTTCAATACAGAGGGAACCCCCATATCACATTAATTGAAAATAAGAATATAATTTCTCAAGAAAACAAGGTGAGGGATGAGGCCATGGAATATAAACAACATGCAATACACAACTTGGAGATGATGGTCTTAGCATATTAAAGACATTACCTCATACTGAGGATGCCCTGCACAAATAAGAAGCAATTCCAGAGTTCGAAGGTCTCCAAGACCTTGGCCTGGAGTACAAACAATTTTTTCAAGAAAAGTTTCACATAGTTCAGTGAAAATACGGCAGTAATTCAGAACTCTGTACAAGAAAAAAGAATGAGAGTCACAAGTCAGAAATCTGGTTATTGTTTACACACACACACACACACACACACACACACTCTCATAGTCCTCAGCTTGAGACATATAGTGATTCTTTGCTATGCTGTATCACAATCTCTATTGTAGATACCTTTACTTAGATTGTCTACTTCTCCACAGATAAGCAAGGAACTAATAAGTGAAATTCTCAATTACTAAAACATTTTTAAAAATTACACTTGATATTTTAAAGTTTTTTCCCTAAGTTTTACAGCCTTTCCTTTTGTGCAAAAACTTTGCATAATTGGTAATTATACAACTTCTGCATCTAACTTGCCACTTCTAAGTTTGCATGAGAATCAAAGTATCTTTAGGATGCACTACTTTAATATTTACACAGAGCCACTAAGAATCATAAACAATAGATGAATAATAAAAAGTAACATAATGTGCTAGGGATGTAGCTTAAATATAGAGTATTTCTCCTCCTGTGTGAGGCCCTAGGTTCAATCCCTAGCACCACAAAAGTAAAAAATAAAAGATCAGACTTTAAAAAAATTCTGAGTTCCAATCTTAAACAATTACTCACTTGTCTAAATCTTCACGTGCCACAGCCATATGATAGGCAGTCTCCAATGTCAGGACTCCCTGAAAAAGTTGCATTGCTAATGGCAAGTTAGTTTCCACATTCTCAATGGCATAAAGAGCTGAGCACACACAGTCTGAAGCAGCTTCATGTAGGTTGGATGAGGTCTTATCCTGTTGCTGGAAGATAGCAGGAACAGCAAAGTAAGAAGTATGATCATTTTAATAAAAGTAATAGGAAAACAATTATAGCTTCTTCTGAACATGTTATGTACTTTAAATATCTAATAGCCTAGTAGTCAATTGTCTTGTATAAGACAACATCATGTTGTCTATTATTAGCCCTTTTATTATCTCTAGAAATCTTTTCCATACTCTTTCTGATATTCAAGTACTAAGTAAAATGAAAGGGCTCAACAACTTCCAAACATATCACTGTGAAATCAGAATACCAAAGTTAAACAACAGTTCTTCAAACTCACTGGGATGAAAGGAGGAAGTAACTTATGAGCAAAAATCATAGAGTCCTCCAACTTCTCATTAACAATGATGCACGCTAGAAAACGAGAGCAAGGCTTCTAAAATTCTGAAGGAAAATAATATTGAATCTAGAATTCTATACCTAGCCAAAGTATGAAAACAAAATAAAAATATTTCTTGGGCATGCAGAAATTCTGATTTCACTTTATGTGCATCTTTCTGAGGAATTCATTGAGGAGGTTCAAAAACTACTTTATTCAACCTAGAAAGCATAGGAAAGGGAAATCCAAGGATGACCATTGGGGAGCTGATCTAAAGAACAACTGATACAAATTAGAACAGTTCAGAAGGTACAAGGGACCATGCAAGGCTCCTACTTAAAATGAGTACAAATGAGAGGCTGGAAAAGTGTAATGAAGGTATATTAGTTTTTCTTGAATAACAAAAACCAGAAAACTTAGAATCACCAGGAGGGAAAAATGCTACATAAGCAGTGTTAGGAGAGCAACAAGATGCAAACTATTCATTACCCTATCCTTAAAACCAAATGGTGGGGGCTTGGGATGTAGCTCAAGCGGTAGCGCGCTCGCCTGGCATGCGTGCGGCCCGGGTTCAATCCTCAGCACCACATACAAAGAAAGATGTTGTGTCCGCCGAGAACTAAAAAATAAATATTAAAAAATTCTCTCTCTCTCTCTCTCTCTCTCTCTTAAAAAAAAAAAATATATGTGGGCCACCATGCCTGGTTTATATTTAGAAACTTTGTTTTTTTTTAGTTTGTTGTTTTTCGTTATACATGACTACATGACAGTAGACTGTATTTTGACATATCATATATGCATGCAGTATAACTTCCCATTTTTTGTGATTGTACATAGTGTAGAGTTACACTGGTCGTGTTTTCATATGTGAACATAGGAAAGTTATATCTAATTCAGTCTATTGTCTTTTCCATTCCCATGCCCCTTTCTTCCACCCTAGGAACTTTTAAAACTAAACTATCTCAAGATAATACTCTGATCTATAATCATCTCTGGATGCAAAACTAATGATGATTTTTTTAGGTCCTCTCATTTTTTTTTCCAAAATATTTGATATACAAGTAATTATGTCATGGTAATGTCAAAGACACTGTGACCACTATTAAAAAATATGCTATTTTACTTTATTCTACCCTAAATTCTGAGTTAAATTGATACCTTCAATTTGGTACTTGATAGCAAGGAAAGGACACTGCCACTTTCCTAAAATATACATTCCAGTCACTGTTCAGAAATTTGAAAACACTATTATGTCCCAGATTATTAAAAATAAAAGTGGTAGGGGCTGGGGATGTGGCTCAAGGGTAGCACGCTCGTCTGGCATGTGTGAGGCACTGGGTTCGATCCTCAGCATCACATAAAAATACTGTGACCACCTAAAACTAAAAAATAAATATTAAAAAAAAAGTAAATGTGTTAGGAATACTATGATAAGCAAAGCTCTTACTTACCAAAACCTCAAAAAGAAGGGCTAGTAACTTATTGTTAGCCATGAAGTTACTGTCCAAAACTCCCAAGTTAAACCAACTTCCCAAACAGCGAAAGACCTTCATAAGCATTTTTTCATCTGTTCCTGCTTTTTCTACACAAGTCATCTGAATAGAAGGGGAAAAAAAAGTTAAAAGAAATAATGTTGATCACCTTAAAAGGACAATGATGAGGACAATAATAATGCTAACAGTTGAAAGTATGTTGTGTGTACCACAGTTCTTAACACCACTAAGCCATTTATTCCCCATTAAAATTCTAAAGGAAGGTACTTTTGCCTCCTGTTTCTCAATGGGAAACTGAGATACAGAGAGATCACAGACATATTTCAAAAACAGAGCTCTTTCAAAAATAACTTAGTAAGTTTCTAAGTTCCCACTTCTCCATTAATGTAGTTTTATAAATAATTGTTTTTAAAGTAACATTTAGCTATCTACATACCCAACTTTCATAGAACAAATGAACGAGGCATACCACTATATATTCCTACATGAAAAGCCAATGCTTCAGCACCTGAATATTCTAATAAATATGTCATTCCACAGAAAGTGACGCTACTATATGTAAAACATACGCAACAGAAGTCAGACCAAAACTTACCACTGTTTTTTTCTTAGCAACCCATTCTTGGGGTATATATTTTTACCAAAGTAAAGTGTAATGCAACTTTAGATGAAGAATGTTTCAAGAAAGCTTTGGCCAGCAGTAAGTTGAAACAACAAAACTGCAGTGGGGTTCCGAAGGCACAAGGCAAGGGCACTGTGTCTTTCCTTGCTATGGGACAGTAGAATCCCATAACTCGCTATCAAACCAGACCTCAATTCTGGTGCATGTACTTCCAAATAGCCCTGTATGCATTATCGGGCAATAATGATTATATGCTTCTAAATTAGTTTGAATTAAAAGGAGAGAGAGAGAGAGAGAGAGAGAGAGAGAGAGAGAGAGAGAG